CCATCCAGGCCCTGATGTTGCTCCTCCTCGGAGTTGCGACGCTTGTGCCGAGCGCCCGGGACGATTTCGCTTGTAGCGCACTAACTCGCAGCCTAGAACCCGCCCTGCGATATCCAAACGGACCGCCACCGACGTAAAATCTAATATAATCGATTTATTGATCTTAGTACCTGCTGCTAAATTTATTATACAACGTGTAAGATATTTTGTAAAAAATTAAGTACGAATTAAGGGAACAATGACGATGATGCTTAAAGGGGCTACCTCTATTATTTTTATTTATGTAAGACGAGAAGGATTTTATTTCGAATATGTATTTTGGAAACTGTTTTGTAATGTATGTTTGTTTAAGAGCGTATGGAAAATGTAAGACACAAAAGTGTTTGCATCGTAATATATTTAATTATAAAATTTAAAAAAAAATTGCATATGTAAAAATTTATATATACATATATATTATTATTTCAACTGATGCCTGATATGTTTGTAAATTTTTAAATACTCGTTTGTATATTTGGTACAAAAATTTTGTAATGGTAGGCATCGACAACTTAACACTTTTTTTAAAAAATAATTATAATTCACAAAATTACTCACTGAAAGGCGTAACACAATATTATACAATATAGAAATTGTATTTGTAAGTGTTTCTTGCATGAAGGAGTGGAACACTTTGTGTATGAAATGCTTGCATTTACAATTATAGATTAAAGCGCATTTATTAATCAGCAATCTCTCCTTGCTGAAATTCAATGCAAAGTTGCTTGTAATATTTATCTCCCAAAATATTATAAGCAATTTCTGTAAGATTTTTTATTTATCTACAATTCTCCATACGTAGTATAAATGCAAAATCTTCGCGCGCACAATACTGTTGACAAATTATTGGCCTTATACATAGATATCTATACTATAAAATATATATATTTGTTACTAGTTGTAAGCAACGAAATAGTTACACAATGGTGCTAATTATCATCTTAAGTTTGTTATTGCTTTTTTTTTAAATTAACTAACTCGTTATGTTTTCTTTATAGAACTTATTAATATATTTAATTTTATTTAACTCAGAGAAAAATTAATATCGGATTGTTAGTCACCGAAACTATAGTTTTTTATTTTAGCTTTATTCAATTTATCAATCATATTTTAATTTTCAAATAAAAATTTGCATACCAAGTGCTTAACTTATTTTTATAAGCAAGCTTTTTGGTGTAGTTGGAACTATATATAAATAAAATAATTAATAAAAAAAATTGTTTTATTTATTTTTTCAAATGACGATTTATAATAAATTATTTTTTGTGTTTTTTCTTTATCATATGACTACGCTCAGTTTTTTCCGACTGTTTTCGAGACTTCTCTTTGGCAACATATTTTTTATAGTCGTCGGAATCGCTATAGTCTTCGGTCGAAACATTTTTTGACTTCTTTGTTTTGGATTTTGGAGCTTTCTTGGTAATGTTTTTAAGTTTTTCTAATTTGCTTTTGAGCTTTTTACCTTTAATTAAACTGTTGGCAGTATCAGGATAAGAAGCATTTTTTCGTTTCTTTGTCCTGGCTTCCGAATCTCTCTTGATTTCATCTTTTATGCTTGGGAAATCACTATCACTGTGGGGCGTTTCAGGCCTGATCAATGGTGTTTCTTCTGACCTAGGGCTATCTACTCTCGTAAAATCACTTTCCGCGTCGGTGGAAATTGTTTCAACATTTTTTCTTTTTTTTATTCTTGGTATTTTAAATGAAAACTTCTTTGTCTTTCCTAGTTTGGTAATCGGAAACTCGCTTTCGCTTAGCGACTCACTTGCAGAATCATTCTTGCGAAATTTTCTCTTCATCAAAACTTTGATCTTGGGACTTGCTTCTTTCTTGTCTTCATTTCGTTTCTTTTCTTTTCGGTCTCGTGCGCGTTTGATTTTATCTGAAAATGGGAATTTCTTTAGTCGACCTAAATCAATCTTTTTGTGTTTGCGATCTTTATTTTCGGGCTGGAGTCTATATCTGAAATATCTGTTGCATTTGGAGAAGGGTCGTTGTTGGTTCTTGATCGTTTCGGTTCCGGTAGCGGAGCATCAGAGTCTGAAATAATATTTTCTTGTTATCGTAAGCAGAAGCATGTAATCCGAAATAAATTGAGCAAGTATGTAATAATAAGATATTGTAATAGTAGGACATTTAATTGCGTTATTTTAGATAAATGTGCTAGAACCTGCAGTATCATTTTCTACCGTCTCTTCGGGACCTAATGAGATATCTGCAACAGGATCGTGTCGCCGACGATTTTTTTTGAATTTGTCTGATTTGAGCTTTTTATGTTTAACACGATGAATATCAAAGCCGCTGCAAAAAATCCACCCTGGAGACATACCATTCTTATCTCCCAGTACGATAGCATTTCGAGCAGACGTGAAAAGCAGACGGGACAAAATGGTTATAACTATCTTCAAAAAATTCAATGAGGGAGTAAAATTATGATGCATTATTCCTGCAATATATTTTTACTTACTTGGATTATGAAAATCAGTAAATTTAGAATAAAAATGGCTATTAGAGATAATTTAATTGGTCTTGAGGCTGCGGTGGCGCATCCTTCTTGATGTAAACTATCGGTCATTAATTCAGGATCTTCCCATACTTCGCTATATCGAGATTGTTGAATTGGGTCGTGGAAACATGGGAGCTCGTAATCTTGGCGACAGCAACTCCAAGGAGTTGAAGGAGGAAAAATGGTGTTATCACCTTCCGCAAATCTACAGGTTAAAACAATCACTCACATCAATAAAAATGTATGGATTAACCTCGATAGAATCCATAAATGTTGCACGTTTATAGGTTTTTATATCATAGATTCAGAGTAATTTATGTGTGTATGAGTGTTTGTTTTATTTACTTAGTAACTGTTTCGGAATTTTTATTCAGAAAGTCCATACGAATCCAAGGTATCCGATGCCAATCTACAAAACCGTCGATTCCACAACATGATAATTCCTGCTGCATTTCATCAAGCATTTCATGCCATACTGGATCAATTAAATAGTTTCTTAATCCACAAACCAAAGCAGACTAAAAAATAAGCAATAATACAATAAGAAATTAGAATTTTCAATAATTTAACTCAGAGATAAGAATTGAGGCAAAAGTCGATATACTCGATTAACCCCTCATTATATTTATTTGTCGGCTATGTATATCATTGATATTTTATTTATAAATTACCCTAATATTTGCAATGACTTTCGTTGATGTAACTGGACATACACTTGCCAATAACAAACCGATTATAGATATGGCAAATCCTGCACTCAACCATAAAGAAACAGCTCGGCGACTAGATTTTTTATGGGGACTTCTTGACGCTGAATTTACTGTATTAATTCCAATAATGTAATTAATTGCAACTAAAACTCCAATAAATGCTGCAATAATATAAATAGCATTCAAGGCGTTCTTTTCGTGAGGCGTTGGCTACGGAAATAATAAGTAAGTAAGTACTCACAAATAATAAAATAAGTAAGTACTCACAAATGTTGAAATAAATTTATTTTTCCAATATTTTATTTTTTCATTTACCTTCCATGTTACAGCAGTAATGCTTATATATATTAATAAAAATCCTAATAACATTTGAATTATATTTAAAGCAACTATAGTCGCAAATAATTTTTCTCTGCCCTGTTGTGTTAAATTAACTGAGCAAAACGTCATTTTTAACAATCAATAAAAAAATGGTTACAAAAATAGGTACATTTGTTTAAAAAATGATTATTATTAGAAATTATAGTTCCATTTTAATAAAAATAACCATTACATTTTTTCAGGGACATCTTTATCTGTTGTTCAAAGATCAAACCAATGAATTTATTATATTTCATATTGTCTAGGACTCAAACAGGTTGAATTATTTTGTTTGATCAATATTCGATTCACATCGAAGTTTGTCATGTTTATTTGCTATCAATGAAAGCTTTGATCTATAAATAAACAAAAACAAAATTGAACTCTAATAGATATTAATTAAATATATTTTATGTAAATATATATTTGAAAATATGGCTCACACATTGGCATCGGTAGATTATTCAGATTCGGATTCCGAAGATTCAGATGTTAAGAGAGGTAAATATTTATAACTATTTAAAAGTTTAAATATAATTAGTTAATTGTAGGCTAAGGTATAGAAATACATAAATATATATTTTTTTATATTTTTTCATCTTAAAATTTTATCATTATTCGTATACATGTAACACACATGTATACATATCTTATTTATTTTATTTGTTTGTAGAAATAATTTTATTTTAATGTACATTTTCATATTTTCAGAAAGACTTGAGCGTGAGGAAGCAGAACGCCTGGCTGCGGCTACTCCGGTTGATGCAGGTCCTGATTATTCAGAATATGATCTACGTAAACTGGTTACTTTTGTAAAAAATATGACCATATTGTATGATCTTTTAGTAAGTAATAATTCAAACAAGTTCGTCTTCTATCTTTCTTTATTCAAATATATTAATTAATATTTAGGAATCCGATTGGACGGCACAGTGTGAGCAAACTATAGAATATTGGATACTAAATCCGAAAGAACCCACAATGTCCATTTATTTTGATGATGATGTCCTCACAGCTACTATTGGTTTTCCTACTTGTCCAGTTTACGATTTGACATATTTTTTGAGAGAACCAAATATGATTTTTACTGTCCAAGATTTCATGACGATGTTACTTTCGGAACGATAAATACAAATGTGGATGGTTCGCTGTTAAAGGTAAAATATTAGGATAATATTTTTACTATAGAACAAAAATTGATATTTAAAAATTTTTAATAGGTAATGGAAAATATATACGGGCCGATATTCTTCAATAACAGCACTTGGCCAGACACTGTCAAAACTAATCTCTGTTCTGAAATGCACGCCTTTTTGGCAAAACTGACTGAAGTCCATTACAAGATGCTCGGCCTCACCGTCATTTACATTCCAAATGAGGGAATCGGCCTGGACGCCGTGACTGCCGCCTTAGACAAAGAGCTGGTGAAACGTTTGGACGGAGTAGTCGTTCATTGGACGAAGCAGATTAGTATGTGTCTTGGGGATCAAGATCAAACTTTGGATATGGAAAGCAACGGGCCCACAGATGAAATAGACTTCTGGGTTAGCAGATGTAAGAATATATACATGTGATCATGTAACATGATTAATCTTTATATTAGTAGCAAAAATATACAGGGAGCGGTGAGGATATTAATCTATCTAGCATATTTAAAACTATTTTAATGTGTTTTTTCAACTTATAGATGAGAATTTGTGCGGAGTAAATTATCAACTTCAAAATGATCACCTCGGACATATCCGTTCAATATTGATGGCTGCAGAATCCACATATATCAAGCAATTTAATGTTCTTTGCGATGAAATCTCTGAACATCTAGCTCAAGCCAAAAGCAATATTGAGTATTTACAGGTAATTATTAAGAAATTCTTGTTTATTAATTTTTGAGACTTATCGATTATTATATTTATCAGATTCTTCGTTCGCCTTGTGCAGAATTATCAGAAGTGGATAGTCCTGGTAATATAAATAAAATTGTGCCAAATATAATACATCTTATTAGAGCTATATGGATGAATTCACCATATTACAATACCAAAGATAAAATCGTTAAATTATTTACGTCACTCACGACATTAATAATAAAACGGTAAGTTCTTGAAAACTAATATTATTAGATCTATATTTTTATTTTTCCGAAGGGGAAGATTTTATGAAGTTGTGTTTGACTAATTTGATGAAACGTTTTATAACGATAGATTTCGTAGTCTGAAATAACGTACTAAAATAATATAGGCCTACGATAAGCGGTTGAATTATAAAAAATCATCAAAGTTTATATAGTAGGCTTGAAAGATTCTAATCAGAATCTATGACGAATCATACATTTAAATGAAATACACACTTTTAGAACACGAAAGAGATGAAATGAAATGTGTTGATCAAATTAATTTTATTTATACAATTACAGATATTATGAGTATGTTTGAAAGACATCAATTGAAAATCGCATTGATTATTTTTAGTGAAAAAGAAAATATTATTTTGTTGAACATTTCTACCTAAAAAATCAAATCTCAATTCTTATTGATTAACTAGTTATGATTATTTATGTACAGGTGCCAAACTTTCACAAATGTTCCTAGAATACTAGAAGGAAATACAAAATCAGGAATTGTTCAAATGACGAGCATCATACAATGTTGTGAAAGGTATCATCAGCTTTATAATGAGGTAAATAATTAATATAATGTTTTTATTACATATTTCATTAACATTCGAAAATTTATATTGTCAATAAATATTTCAATTTGATAATTTTATGTTTTCTCAGCGTTTCAAGTGATTCGGAATAGACTCTAATCAGAATTTGAAATAGATTCTAATCAGAATCCATTTTGACAGTTTATGTATATCATATTCTCTTTCTTTAATTATTTTATTACAACCATTGTTTAATTTTTCATTTTTTAATTTATTGTTTTAATATTTATTTATTTTTACAATTTTTAGATCCAGAGCGCCCATAATGGTGTCAAACCTGGAAGTTGGGACATCGACAACAATACAATATTCAGCAATTTGGATTCATTTATTCAAAGATGCAAGGATTTGATAGAAATTTGCCAAGGAATGATTATGTTTGCACGGTATGTCCTAGAAAAATCTACTTATATTTTTCTACTATCTATCCAATATCCTTTTAGGAGCATATAATTAACTACTATTTTCTTTTAGCATGGATGAGGAAGAAAAAATTCCTAAGCCAATGTTTGGAGGCACCAGAGGTATAGAGTTTGAACGTATTTGTGAAAAAGTTGAAAGTCTTTATAAAGAAAATTTAGCGAAAATAGTAAATATTCAACATGCTATATTAGATGTCCGAATCCCATCTTGGTATGATGACATCAATAATTATCGATTAGCTACCAGAGATATAGAGGTAGATATATCATCAGATAATAAATCATAATTATAAATTAAATAAATTATAAAAAATATTCTAATAGTTATATAAATATAAATAATTACTATTTAGGTAATTATTGAGAACTTAGTTACTGATGTATTTTCATCAGTGGCTACCATGGAAGATGCTCTGGAGTCACTTTGTGCTTTCTACAATTACTCTCGGCGAGAAAACCTAAAAATTATATTTGACCGCAAAACTACACAGGTTAAACATATTTTTAATTATATATATATATATATATATATATATATATATATATATTTATATTTATAACTATGATAAAACAATAAGCATTGTTATGAATATCTCCTTAGGTTTGGGAAATGTTCGGCCAAGAGATACAAGATGCAAAGAAAGATCTGATATTGGAGAGAGAAGAGTATCCTGCAAATCTTCCTTACTTTTCAGGTAGAGCTATGTCTGCAAAGCTCAAAAAGACCAGATTGGAATATTTAAAACAATTATTGGATGAAGCTGAATGGATGTGGATAACACCAGTATCACATACAGTTAATATAATAATAATAATTGCAGTAAATAATAGGTCAATGAAAGATAAAATTTGGTGCTCTTGCAGATTGTTGCTCAGTTCAATAAATTGGTACGATCTATTGAAGACCGCATGATGGAGTTATTTAGGAAGTGGATAGACAATATAGGAGAAGATGTATCTAAACGTCTTGATAGGCCGCTGATGAATAGAAGTGCTACAAAACCTGGACTTTTAGAATGCAATATAGATAGGTATAAGAACTAAATATAAGTATATAATAATCGCAATTCTACATTTCCAATTACAACAGAATTTTTCTTTTATTTTAAATAAAATTGTCTGTTTTTGATAGGTCTATTCTGGAGATATGTACAGAAGCAAAGCATTGGGAATCCTTAGAATTTGATATACCAACGCATATCAAAAGCATATATATGAAATTTGAAAATGTTCAATTCGTTTTTGAGAGCGTAATGACAGTCGTAATCGATTATAATCGAATAATAGCTTCCCTTTCTGATCGAGAACGTCTACTATTTAGACAATTGATAAATGCATGTGACAAGAAAATCACACCTGGTTTATTCAAATTGACCTGGAATGATGATGTTTGCGACACATATATTGCTGACTGTGTAGCTCATACTGCTGAGGTATTGTGTAATAAAAATCAATAATATTTGATCTATTTTAAAACATAATTACGTTTCAGCTTCAATCATTCCTTGATGATTATAAAACATCGAATTTGGAAATTGTGAAAATATGTGAACGAATCTGTGATACACCATTAATTGAAATTAAACCAAACTTTGTATATCAGCTTGAAGATTTGCAAGAACATTTGAATACTTTTAAATACAATGTTACTGTTAATTTACTCAAAATGATTCGAGACATTATGAACTATATGATAGTTGTTTATGAAGGATTCGAGCAATATATGCATATGGTAAATATAATTAAACCTAATTAATACAGACATATTTTTTTCAGAATATATGTTAATGGTGATTATTCCTAGATGGTGGAACACTGGATATCTTATGTTAAAAAGTTTGATCTGCTTGTTGAAGAAGCTTTAAAAGTTTGTGTGAAGAATTCGTTAAATATTATGTTGAACGCTTTAAAAAGTGGAACCATTTCGATGTCGCCGTTGATCAAATTGCAAATCACGCTGAAAAATGATAGAGTAAAATAATATATTTATGTTTATAACTAAGACCATTAAATTAACAGTTTTATTATTGCAGATCAGTTTTTCTCCATCGGTTCTTCAAGTAGCTACTTTAATAGCAGATACTTTGCCAGGAATTGTGGATTCTATGAGATTATTACCAAGATTATGTGATAAATTTCATATTCCCAAAGAAGACACAGTTAAATTTTGTGATGTTATTGACAGCGACGAAGATTGTGTTAAACTACAAACAGCACTAGATAACGGTATAAGTTAAATGAGTTGTTGTGTTATATATTATAATATTTTTATTATTATTTTCATTCATAGAGGTGACGATTAATGTGCAGAAAATTCAACTATATGTAAAGAATTGGGAACCATTCAGAGAAATGTGGGAAGTAGACAAAGAATTATTTATAAAGAATTATGAAAATATGAATCCAGCGGCGAAAGTTTTTGAAGAAAATATAGAAAATTATACAGACGTTATTAATCGAGTTCAGCTTCAAGAAACTACAACAAATGTTCATTTTTCACACATTATATCTTCACCTTTAAAGAAGGCTATTGTTGCACATTGCAAGGAATGGCAGAAGAAGCTAGAGGATTTGCTGTTGAAATTGGCAACGCAGAAAGTTGAACATGTAATAGCTATATTTACATGCATATATGTAATGTTATAAACTTTAAAAAATTATTCATCGATTGCAGATTTATGAGTATACAGCTGCAAATGCCAAAGTTATGAGTGAAGAACCGAAAGATCTAAAAGAGTTAGGAGAGCTTATTGCTAATTATGATAAATTTAATTTGGAATTGCAGGAAGAGGAAAAAATATTTCCTATAATACGTGAAGATTTCAGAATTTTAGGTAAATCTCTTTTTTTTAACCAATAAATCTTATTGATGTTAATATTTTTATTTTTTTATTTTCCCTTATTATTTTTTAGATAAGTACCAAGTTCAAAGATCACAAAGTCTTAAAACCAAATTTGCTGAAATGGATGAACGATGGGAATGGTATAATGAAAGTATTAATCAATGTCAAAAAATGATAGAACACTCCAAGGATACATTCCGCGTTGGTTTGTTAGAATCGGCTGATGTCTTTAAACAAGATGCTGCCAATCTGCTGAATTCATTTGTTGTAAATAAGATTTTTATAATTTTTATTAGCATAATACAGACTATTATTTGCTAAAAGTAATTCACATCAGTTAAATCATGGGTAAGATTAATATATTTGTAGTTTGACATTCATCATTTATGGATAAACACTGTTAAATCATCGAAATATGAATTGCATTCTATACTATAACCATTTTTTTTTTTTGCAATGTCATTAAGTTTTGTATTTCTTACACCCAGGAGGAAGGTCCTTTCAATGCAGATTGGTCAGCAACAGATGCCATTGAATATTTGCAACAAACACGGGAAAAGTTGTTGCAAATGCGTGAAAGAGAAGCGATTATCAAACGTGATTTGGGAGTTTTCAGCATAAGTCAACCTGACTCAGCAGAACTGATAAAGTTGGAGAAGGATCTTGCAGCAATTGAATTAGTTTGGGAATTAACACAACAATGGGAAGAAGCTTGGGAACGTTATAAATTGGGGAATTTTTGGACTATTGAAACTGAGGAAATGGAAACTACTGCTCAAACGCTCTTCAGGTAATAAAGAACATAGGTTTAGACTTCTATAGAACCAATGGTGAAATTAATTTAATATTTAGAAAATTAACTCGTCTGAACCGTGAGCTCAAAGATAAAAACTGGGATATTGTGGAACATAGTCGTAGTCGTGTAGATGCTTTTCGGCGAACACTTCCATTATTGTCTGATCTGAAAAATCCAGCAATGAGGGAAAGACATTGGGATCGTGTTCGTTCAGTTATGAATAAGTATGTTTAAAATTTATCACCAAATATGCACCCCATTTTTCTATAATTCATTTATTTTTTTTAGGGAATTTGATCAAAATTCTGAAGATTTTAAATTAGAACAGATTATAGCCATGAATTTCCAAGCTTATGCAGAAGATATTAATGAAATATCAAATGCGGCGACAATGGAATTGCAAATTGAAATGGGTATCAAGAACATTGCACAGATTTGGGAAACAGTTGGAATTGAGATGGTTCCATATAAGGATAAAGGTGTTTATAGACTGAAGAATGTTGATGATTGCTTCCAAGTAAGACATTCAATTATTTAATAGACCAAATCAATGATTACAATATAATAACGGGCAATAAAGTTTACCAAGACTATTTGTATTATTAAGATCTTTTTTTGGATTCATCCTGTTGTATTCTTATAATTTATTTCTTCGTTTACAGGTTTTAGAAGAACATGCTGTTATAATATCAACTATGAAAGCAACTCGTTTCGTTGAACCTTTTGCAGAAGTGGTAGATCATTGGGAACGGACTTTATCATATATTGGAGAAACTTTGGAAGCCGTTTTGAATGTTCAAAGACAATATTTATATTTGGAAAATATATTCTTTGGCGACGATATCCGCAAACAACTCCCAAAGGAAACACAGGCTTTTGATGAAATTGCTCAAGTGATTATAAAAAAAAGTTACATTAAATAGTATTATAAGAAATAGAATTAATTGCTAATCTGATTTTAGTCTTGGTTAGTAATTACATCATCCATGTACAGAGGTGGCTCTGCATTAAAAGCAACACATTATGTTAAACCACCACTTTTATTAAATACTCTAAATGAACTCAACGATATTCTGGAAGAGCTACAAAGGGCTTTAGAAAAATATTTGGAAACAAAGCGTCACATATTTCCACGCTTCTATTTCATTTCTAACGATGACTTATTGGAGATTCTTGGAAATTCTAAAAAGCCTGAAGCGGTTCAACCACATTTTAAAAAACTATTTGATAACATTAATAAAATCAAAATTGGAAAGGTATATTAATATTTATATATGTTTGAAGCATATTTCAAAATTTCTATTATTTTTTGCAGACTGTTTTGAATAAAAATGAAGCTTTAGGTATGTTCTCAGCGGATGGTGAATTTATAGAATTTACTAATCCGGCATCTCTAGAAGGACCTGTGGAAATTTGGCTTACAGGTATAGAAGCGGCTATGCGAGCTCATTTAAAAGAAAATTTGAAACAGACCAGACTTGCTCTGAGAAAATCTCTTTCTAAGCGTGACAAATGGTTGTTGATATGGCCAGGACAATTGTGCATCACTGCGAGCCAAGTAAAGATAGGAAATACTTGAAAAAACTGATTAATCACAATTTTATTTTATTATTTTTATTATAGATTCAATGGACATCTGATTGTACAAGAACTCTCAAAATATGCAAAATCACTGAAGAGAAAAAACATCTCAAGAAGTTGCGCAAAAAGCAAAATCATGTGCTTATGAAATTATCAGAAATGAGTCGAAAAGATCTTACTAAAATTCATAGACTTAAAGTGAATTCTCTAATTACTGTGGAAATTCATGCAAGGGATGTTATTGATAAAATGTATAAAGTAGGTAAGTATTCAAAAAATACTTTATTATTTGTTTATTTCAAAGTTTTGACTATTCTCATTTATTTCATGTACTGCAATAAACGTACATAGGAATAAAACTAATACATTTTGAATAATATAAATTCTTTGTCATATTTGTAACATAAATTTTTATTTTTCAATTCATAATATAGTTGGTAATGTAATTTGTATAGGTTGTATGGACGAAGGAGATTTTGAATGGTTTTCCCAATTGCGATTCTATTGGGAAAAAGAAACTGAAATATGCGTTATCCGACAAACTAATACTTTTTTCCGTTATGGATACGAATACAGCGGAAATTCTGGACGACTTGTTATAACACCTTTAACTGACAGGTTGTTACATACTAAAATATTGAATAAATATTTTAATAATAAATATTTTTATTTGCAGATGTTATATCACGCTAACAACAGCGTTGCATTTATTTCGTGGTGGTAGCCCTAAAGGTCCTGCCGGAACTGGTAAAACAGAAACCGTTAAAGATTTAGGAAAAGCCCTTGGAATATGGGTAATTGTAAATAACTGCTCTGAAGGATTAGATTATAAAAGCATGGGCAAATGTTTTTCAGGTAACATAAATTTTTATTCTACATTTTTATTTTTATGTACTATTTTTTTATTATAATTTAAGGATTATCGCAAACTGGAGCTTGGGGTTGTTTTGATGAGTTCAATAGAATAAATATTGAAGTATTATCTGTAGTTGCACAACAGATTTTATCAGTATTATCCGCTTTGGCACAAGGTTTAAACAAATTTACTCTAGAAGGCATGGAAATCAATTTAGTTCATACAGTGGGTTTATTTATTACTATGAATCCTGGTTACGCTGGACGAACTGAACTTCCAGATAACCTAAAATCGATGTTTCGGCCAATATCTATGATGGTGCCTGATAGCAGCATTATTGCTGATAATATTTTGTTCAGTGATGGATTTCAAACTTCTCGAGCGTTGGCAAAAAAAGTATTTACTCTTTACCAATTGGCGACACAGCAACTCAGTAAACAAGATCATTATGATTTCGGTTTGCGTTCGATGGTAGCTTTATTACGTTATGCAGGAAGAAAGCGCAGGGCTTATCCTAATTATTTGGAAGATGAGATACTATATTTAGCTATGAAGGATATGAACATAGCTAAATTAACGGCCAACGATTTACCTTTATTCACCGGTATTATGTCTGATATTTTTCCTGGTGTTCAAATACCAGTCGTAGATTATGAAGAGTTCTTCACTTGCATCGAAGATGAATTAGTTGCAATGGGTTTACAAAAAATATCTATAGCGTCAACGAAAGTCATTCAATTGTATGAAACTAAAGTATCTAGACACAGTGTTATAATATTAGGAGATACTGGTACTGCGAAAACAGTGACATGGAAATGTTTGAAAGGAGCTTTTACAAGAATGAATAAACTTAAAAAGCCTGGATTTGTACAAGCACAAGAATATGCTATGAATCCAAAAGCTTTATCCTTGGGTGAACTGTATGGAGAATACAACTTGGCTACAAATGAATGGTTGGATGGGGTGTTATCAGCCATTATGAGAAAAGTTTGCTCAGGTAAGAAATCATTTATTTAGATTGTGTGTAAATAATTAAAATATTATGCAATTAACAGATGAGAGTCCCGAACAAAAATGGATTCTCTTTGATGGTCCTGTAGATGCCGTGTGGATTGAGAACATGAACAGCGTCATGGACGACAACAAGGTATAAATGGTATAATAATAAATTTTTTGTGGAACAATGTGTAATAAATTAATATTTATTTATTATTTAGGTTCTAACGTTAATTAATAGTGAGAGAATTACGATGCCTGAACAAGTTTCTCTTCTATTTGAAGTCGGAGATTTAAGTGTGGCATCTCCAGCCACTGTTTCACGTTGTGGTATGGTCTACAATGACTACAAAGATTGGACTTGGAGACCTTTTGTCAATTCTTGGCTGCAAAAGCTTCCAGATCAAAAGCAGTTGGCATCTGATGTATGAATCTTATAAAATCAACTAATTTTATCATAATCTGTGACTGATAAAAATGTATTTGCAGATGAAAGACTTCTTCTATAGATATCTACAAAAAGTTTTGGATTTCAAGAGAACTAAATGTTTCCAACCTATAGAGGCTCCTGAACTAAATTGCGTAATGTCCTTCTGCAAATTACTGGACTGCTTTTTAACAAAGGAAAATGGTTTAGATCCGGCTGATACAGAATCATTTTCTCATATGGGAAAATTATGGTTCTTCTTTTGGTAACAATATACTTGGATTTCTAAATTATTTATTACACATAAATATTGATATTTATATTTATATTATTATTATAGCATGGTTTGGTCTGTATGTGCAACAGTTGATGAAGCCGGTCGTGTTAAAATGGATACATTTATAAGAGAAATGGAAGGAATATTCCCGGTAAAAGATACAATTTACGAGTATTATGTTGACCCCAGATTGAAAAATATGCTTGCTTGGGAGGAAAAATTATCGGAGAGTTGGCGATATCAAGCAGGGTATAAAGTAATGGTATAAAGTCGTGTGTACAATATAAATACATGTTTCTTCAATTTCAGAATTCCTTTCTATAAAATTATTATTCCAACGGTAGACACTATTAGGTACGAATATTTAGTGTCGAAATTATTAGCTATGGGAGCTCCTGCAATGTTAGTTGGACCAGTTGGTACGGGCAAGACATCAACTGCGCAATCTGTACTTGATCAACTGAATGCTGATAAATATGGTTTGCTGTGCATAAATATGTCAGCCCAGGTATAATTTGATATAATTAAATATTAAGATTTTATTAATGAACACATTTGGTATTTAATATACATTTTTAGACCACTTCAAACAATGTTCAAGATACCATTGAAAGCCGCGTTGAAAAGCGCACAAAAGGTGTATACTACCCAGTTGGTGGTAAAGTTATGATAGCGTTTATGGATGACTTTAATATGCCTGCTAAAGAGACATATGGGTCACAACCTCCTTTGGAACTTATAAGACAATGGATTGATTATGGATTTTGGTATGATCGTGCAAAACAAACAAAGAAAACCATTAAGGTATTTTTTAATATAAGCCAAGTGAAAACATGATATTATTGTATTGTTATTATACAGGATATTCTTCTTATGGCTGCAATGGGTCCACCAGGTGGTGGTAGAAATGTTATAACACCTCGTTTGTTGAGTCGATTCAATGTTATAAACATGACTTTCCCAGCTGAATCTCAAATTACCAGGATTTTTGGTACTATGCTTTCCCAACAAGTCGTAGACTTTGAAGAAGAAGTGAAAGCAATGAGTATGTTATTTTATTCTATTAATAATTATTTTATTAACCTGATTAATTAATAATTATTATAGCTGGAAAGATAACTGCGGCAACCATCGATTTATACAATGGTGTGATAGCTAAAATGCTACCTACTCCAGCCAAAATTCATTACCTGTTTAATCTCCGTGATATTTCCAAAGTTTTTCAAGGACTTCTTCGAAGTAATAAAGATTTTCAGAATACAAGAATGGCTATGTTAAAACTTTGGGTTCATGAGTGTTACAGAGTGTTTAATGATCGACTCATTGACGAAAAGTAACAATTATTTCTTTTTTTACAGTATAATGTTATATATTGTAAATTTGAATGAATTTTCAGAGATCGTGAATGGTTTTCGAACGCAATCAACGATGGACTTGGTAGATTTTTTGAAGTCACATTCAATGCCCTTTGTCCAAATAAAGATCCGCCACTGTTCGCAGATTTTGTTAATCCATTTGGTGTTTATGAAGAAATCGTAGATCAAACTAAACTACGGAAGTATATTGAATTACAAATGGAGGAGTATGTTTGCAAAAAAATATTTTTGATTGATTTTAAACAAAGACAAATCCATATGTTACTTGTATTTTAGATATAATGCTTCACCTGGTGTTGTCCGTGTAGATCTGGTTTTATTTAAGGATGCTGTTGAACATATCTGTAGAATCGTCAGAATTATTTCGCAACCAAGAGGGAATACTTTGCTTGTCGGAGTTGGTAAGTGAAATTAAAATTACTTACTATAAAATAAAAATGAAATATAATTCAAATAAAATACATCATTACCAATTATATATTTATATATTCCTAATATTAATATATAATAAGTAATCATTGATTATTTTCTTAGGTGGTTCCGGCCGGCAATCTTTATCACGAATATCTAATTACATTTGCGAACTGAATACATTCCAAATCGAAGTAAGCAAAAGCTATGGAATGGGTGAATTCAAAGAAGACTTGAAAAAACTTTATGGTTTAACTGGTGTTGATGTGCGACCTACAACATTTTTGTTCAATGAAAACCAAGTATGCTTTTTACACTCACATTCAATTATTAAATCATAAACTACATTTTTCTGTTCAGGTACAAGAAGAAAGTTTCTTAGAAGTTATTAACAATATGCTAAGTACTGGCGAGGTTGCCAATCTATATAAAGCAGAGGAATTTGAGGAAGTTAAGAATAATCTACATGCTGCCGCTGTAAAAGCTGGAATTTTACAAACATCTGAGGCTATGTACACTTTTCTGATAGATAGAGTACGTTCAAATTTGCATATCATATTGTGCATGAGCCCTATTGGAGATAGTTTCAGGTAAGACAATATAATAGATAGTGTGTTTAACGCACTTGCTTATTTTTTATATTTATTTAATTATTTATCTAGAAACCGCCTTCGGCAATACCCATCTCTCATCAATTGCACCACAATAGATTGGTTCCTCGAGTGGCCTAAAGAAGCACTTTTAGAAGTCGGCATGAAATATTTAAATGAAATTGATTTTGCTGCTACTATCACAGGGCAGAAGGCTGTAGGTTTATGTCTTTAATATTATAAATATGAGATTTATCATGATTTATTAAAAATACAGGAACAAAGGCAAGAATCTTTAGTATTTGGCACACAAGAAAAACTAAGTCAAGCTGTTGCATCCCTATTTGCAATCGTTCATGACTCTGTCGCGAAATGTTCTCGAACTATGTTGCATGAAATGAAAAGACATAATTATGTTACTCCTACTAATTACTTAGAATTGGTATTCGGATATAAAACGTAAGTCTAGCCATTAAATTTGATAATAATTTATTTATTTACTGCATTTTGTGCATGATTTTTCTATAGAATGTTGGATGAGAAAAGAGTTTTTGTTGCTCAATCAGCTAACAGGCTTCGAAATGGTTTATCAAAAATTGATGACACTCGAGAAAAGGTATAATTAAATCATTTTTTTTTTTAATTTTTTCTCATTTTTTTTATTTCTTAAGGTTGAAGTAATGTCTGTTGAACTGGCTGAAGCCCAAGTTAAAGTAGCTGAATTCCAACAACAGTGCGATGAATATTTGGTAATAATAATGACTCAAAAAGAAGAGGCTGACGAACAACAAAGAAATGTTACAGCAAAAAGTATAAAAATTGGAGAAGAAGAAGTAGTTTGTAAAGAAATGGCAACTATTGCACAAGCTGATTTAGATCAAGCAATGCCTGCACTTGAAGAGGCTATCGCTGTGAGATAGAGATATTTGACAAAGTGGTATATTTAAATGTTAGTGCTATATTATCTTTTATTGTTGAAAATTTCAGGCTTTAGATTCCTTGAATAAGAAAGACATGACTGAAATTAAATCTTATGCTAAGCCTCCTCAGAAAGTTGAAATGGTATTAGAAGCTGTAATGATTCTTAAACAGTCCGAGCCAACCTGGACAGAAGCTAAAAGGCAACTTGGTAGTCAATACTTTTTAGATGAATTAAGAAATTTCGATAAAAATCACATATCTGATAAAACGCTAAAAAAAATCGCAACCTATACCACCAATCCAGAATTTGAACCAGAAAAAGTTGGAATTGTGTCATTAGCTGCTAAGTCTTTAGCTATGTGGGTCATTGCGATAGAAAAATATGGACATGTTTGGAAGTATGTATAAATTTAAAATTGATATAATTTGTCTTTATTGGCAAAATAACAATATTCTTTACTGTGATATAGAATTGTTGGACCCAAACAAGCAAAACTTGATGAAGCAGTAGCATCATTGAGGGAGAAACAAGCTATGTTAGCAGAAGCTCAAGCTAAATTAGATGAACTAAGTAAAAAACTTGCTTTGCTCCAAGCAGAGTATAACGAAAAATTAACCCAAAAGGAGCAGTTACGTCTTAAGGCTGAGTCCTTAATGTTAAAATTAGAGAGAGCTGCGATGTTAGTCGATGGATTATCTGGGGAACGGGTATATCAATTTATATAGGAATATTTAAAAATTAATTACTGAAATAATAATTTTATTTTTAATATTTATTACACAAGGTACGTTGGGAGCAAACAGTCAAACGGTTGGATGAAGAATTTTTGAAACTTCCTGGTGATTGTTTGATGGCTACAGCATTTATATCGTATTTAGGACCATTTGTTTCCCAATATAACAAAAAAACGTGATAGATTTTAATTTTTGTCTGTGTTGTAGGATTGGAAGCACAACTCTTGGGAATAGTAGTGTGTAAAGAAAGACCTCAACTTGAAGAGCAGAAGAATAATCTTGTAATAACAATTGCTAGAAATAAAAAATGCTGATAGATTTGGAAAATGAAATCTTGCGTTTACTTAATGAATCCCGGGGATCTTTATTGGATGATGAAGAACTTTTTGCTACTTTACAATCCTCAAAACAAACGTCTATTGAAGTTATTGACTCCTTGGCCATTTCTGAAGTTACTGAAATTGAAATAGATACTGCTCGTGAAGTAATATATAATAATATATAATTACTTCGAAAATGTATCTAATTTTTAATTTTATTATTTTACACAGGGATACAGACCATGTTCTAAACGTGCTTCAATTTTATTTTTTGTGCTTACTGATATGAGCAATATCGATCCTATGTACCAATTTTCACTTGATGCGTACATAGTCTTATTTGATAACTCCATTGATAGAAGTATGAGAAGTCCTAATTTAGCAGATCGAATCAACTTCTTGAATGAATATCATACATATGCAGTTTACAAGTGAGTTTACATTATAAAATGGTATTTAAAATATATGGTTAATGTTACATCAAATTACAGAAACACTTGTAGAGGTCTTTTTGAAAAGCACAAATTACTGTTTTCGTTTCATATGTGCATGAAAATATTGGACGCTGCTGGAAAAGTTAATCAGGTTGAATATTCTTTTCTATTAAAAGGAGGTGTTGTTCTTGATAAATCCGCACAAGTAGATAATCCTAATCCAAGTAAAAATGAATTTACATTACTACATATGAAAGCACAAAATCTAAATATTTATATTTTATAGCTTGGATTACTGATTCATCCTGGGATAATATAACAGAGTTAGATAAACTTCCAGGATTTCATGGTGTTGTTGATTCATTTGAGAGTGGTAGCAAAGAATGGCATGAATGGTATACCCAAACGGAACCTGAGATCGAACCTCTTATAGGTAATTATAAATGGATATACATATATATGGAAATAATGATTAATATTATCAAATTATATCAGGTGATTGGGATAATCAGTGCAACGACTTCCAAAAGATGATGTCGTTCGCTCTCTACGTTCTGACCGCATGTCGTTTTGCATAAGCAATTACATAATTAATAATCTGGGAGCAAAATATGTAGAACCCCCAGTTTTAGACGTAAAAGCCGTATTGGAAGAATCCGTTTCCAGAACTCCATTAATATTCGTTCTATCTCCTGGAGTTGATCCTACCAGTTCTCTACTTATGTTAGCCGAAGTTTATGATATGTCTCATAGATTTCATAGTTGAGTTTGGGACAAGGCCAAGCTCCAATAGCCACTAGGTAAACAAGAAAATATTCTTTTAAAGGCTAATTGCTAAACCTATGTACTATTATTTTAGAATGATAGCGGCTGGTGCAAAAGAAGGAAACTGGGTGTTTCTCGCTAATTGTCATTTGTCATTAAGTTGGATGCCGCGTCTAGACAAAATAGTTGATACTTTACAAACTGCGAAAACACATCCAGATTTCCGCCTATGGTTGAGTTCTAGTCCAAACCCTGAATTTCCTATATCTATTTTGCAAGCTGGAATTAAAATGACTACCGAACCTCCTAAGGTATTCAATATTAATACTAAAAACATAGGCGCTGACAATTTTATTGTTAATTTATTTTTAGGGTATCAAAGCAAATCTAAAACGATTGTACCAAAATCTAAGTGAAGAGCAGTTCAACGTGTGCAAGACGAAAGATAAATACAAGAAACTATTATTTGCACTTTGTTTCTTTCATGCTATTCTGCTGGAAAGGAAAAAATTCCAACAACTTGGTTGGAATGTTGTCTATAGCTTTAATGATTCAGACTTTGAAGTAATCATTAATGAAATGGTAACCTAGCTAGCTACAACTAACTATTCAACATGATTTTTTATAGGTTTCGGAAAATTTATTGGCTATATATTTAGACGAATATTCTGAAGAAACACCATGGGATGCTTTAAAATATTTAATTGCTGGTGTAAATTACGGTGGCCAGGTAACAGATGATTGGGATCGGAGATTGCTGCTCACATATATTAATCAATATTTTTGTGAAGATGCTTTGCAAATTCCTAATTTCAAGTATGTGTATTCAGTATAAGTTTTGGAACTGTAGCATGGTAGAAAAACCTTTACAATTTTAGATTATCTTCTCTAACTACCTATTATATACCGAGAGATGGTTCTCTTCAGTCATACCAAGAATTTGCTGCTGTTTTACCAGGCGTTGATCGACCAGAAGCTTTTGGTCAACATTCTAATGCTGATATTACATCACTGATTAACGAAACAAGAGATTTATGTGAGACATTGATGTCGATACAATTACAAGTAGCTGGCACGTTAGGCGAAAGCAAGGAGGATAAGGTTAATTTTTGAATAATATTTTATATTTATGTTTATCTGTAATATTTTATATGATTATTGCATTACAGGTTGCTCAATTAGCTAACGATGTTCTCATTAAGATACCCAAAACTATAGATTATGATAATACTGATAAATTGATTGGAGCTAATAAAAGTCCTTTAGATGTTGTTCTGTTGCAAGAGATTTCAAGGTATGTATTGCAATATATTAAACTATATTAGAAGAGTATTGAATACGCACAAATTGTTCAGATATAACATCCTACTTGATTCTATAACCACGTCGTTAATCGAGCTTCAGAATGGCATAAAAGGCTAGTAGTCATGTCTACAGAATTGGAGGATATATTTACGTGCATCTACGAGGGTAGAGTTCCTGCTGGGTGGTTGAAAGGTGCATAACAATTACTTTTTTATATTTAACTTATTGTAATTATAAAATATTTTTAGCTTATCCATCTATGAAGCCTCTTGGTTCGTGGACGCGCGACTTGGTCGCCCGTGTAGAACATTTTGGAGCATGGGCAGAAACAACCCATCCACCCATATTATTCTGGCTTGCTGCATACACTTTTCCTACTGGATTTTTGACGGCTGTTCTTCAAGTAGATAATTCATATATTTACATTTTATAATTGTATACTAATTGTAATTTTTCTAGACATCTGCAAGAGCCACAAACACACCTATAGATCTATTATCTTGGGATTTTACTGTATTTGTTCAAGATGAATCGTATTTTATTGAGCCAGCGATCGAAGGAGTTTATGTTCGAGGATTATTTTTAGAAGGTGCTGGATGGAATCGTAAAGAACAGTGTTTAGCAGAACCACAGCCAATGCAGCTCGTTTGTCCTATGCCTTTAATCCTTTTCAAACCAGTTGAGCAGTTAAGAAAAAGGACGAAAGGTTAATACCAATAATTAAAAATATTTAATATAATGTTCATATTTTAAGTATCTAAACCGTTGTTTGAACAGGTATTTACGTCTGTCCAGCGTACTACTTTCCATTAAGGTCAGGTGTACAAGGGAGACCAGCATTTGTAGTTCCAGTTGATTTAAGATCTGGAGAATATAGTGCTGATCACTGGACAAAACGTGGAACTGCTTTGTTGCTTAGTGTCTAACTGAATGTACATTTTACAATTTGTAAAAGGAAAATATTGATATCAATAAACATTGATATTTTCAAAAACTAAATAAATTTAATTTATTACAGTATTAGCATTAAAAAATTATTACAAAATCCATAAGCTTTAGCTAGTTATACATTAATGGAACTATTAAATACTTGGCTCATTTGGACAGAAAAAAATATTGCAGTGATCCCCTGCAATGAAAAAGTACTGAAGAACGATTTGAAACATAGAAAGACTAAAATTAGACTTATCATTATATGACAAAGATGATTTTATGCCTAGCACTCAAACTGCAGCCTGCATGACTCTTATAAGTAAGTTTAAAATAATTATATTATATTTTTGATTAATAACAAGCAATATATTGTGTATATTTCATCTAACGATATAGATCATTATTTAATTAATGTTGCTTGTAATATAACAATTTATAATTTATCATACTAACTAAATTTTTTTTAATATAGGTGATTCTAAGAATTCAGAGCAACATGCCTATGCAGATTACCTACCTGCAAATGGACAATCATTGAGTATCTGCAGAGTTCTGCACCTTATGTTGGACCACCCCACCTCCAATGCGACTTTAGGAATACATCAAACTGGACTTCTTATACGTACATCTTGTTGCTGAGACAACAAAGGACAAATAAGGAAGATGAAATATCTGATCATGAATATTGTAATGATGTTTAAAGAGAGTTGCTTTTGTGCCTTTTATATTAGATCATTTCATATTAGAAGTGAGATGGCGAAGGTGAGATTCATAGGTTTTCTATGAATTGTTTTAAACAAATTTTTATACAACTTACGATGCAATACAAGTGCAATATTGACATTTAAATTTAAACTGATAGTAATAAAATTAATATATTAGTATTATTAAGATCAAAAATGTCATTATGTTCTGGCAAGTTGTACTTACAATTTTAATTAGAACTTATTATTTCTAAAGTTTAATTTAACTTATATTAATACTCGAATACTTATAATCCTTTGTTGAGTGGTTGAGATTTTTATCAAAGCAATGAAAAATGTATTCAAATTGCTAATTTACAAGTTGAGTGCAATTTTGAAGAATGTATATCAGAATAACATGTGATTAATAGACATCTTACAATTAATAAGAAGATTGATCTCTTGTACCTCAAATACAACTTAACATTTACGTTTTAAGATTAGATAATCCTATTTAATTAGATTATGCTAATTATTTTCACTGAGAGTGAGATTTATATATATGTGTATGAGTGTATGATATTTTGTAATTATATATAAATAAAAGTATAAATAATTTAATGATTCTTTTGTTATAACATTTATATGCATATTATTGAATACTTCAGGTTGCTTTTAGCAAACAACGATTAATAGCCATACACAAATAATTATTTTAATTAAATTACTGTATTAAACACTGTATTACTAATTATTAAAAATGTTTTATTAATTTTTAAGTGTTGATTTTGGCAAACAATAATTAATTCATGATTATTACCTTTAAACAAATATTATTTTTAATCAATTATGAACATTTAATTACAATCATGCATGTGACATACTGTTATTTATTAATGACATACATTTATTTAATATTTATTTTTGGCAAGACCGAAGTGAGTTATTTTACTATTAATTTCATATATTTGTTTAAAAGATTGAAAGTTATGGAAAATACGGTCCTGTTTCATTGACAGTTTAAGAACATGGCGGATAATGGCGGACAATTGCTGTCAATAGATTACTGTCACCACTGTCACCTAGAAGTTCATACCAAGCTTTAAAACATAAATTCGTGTTTTTTAATTATTTATGGTTAAGCATTGTTTATAATGCCATTTTATAAGAAAAAAATAATGGAGAAAAATATTAAGTACAAGAAAAAATATAACCGACTAAAGCGTTTTATAAAAGACATAGTCTTTGTGAGTATATATAATTTGATTTTTGATAAAATAAATTTTATACATTGTTTATTCTTTAGGAAAATGCTGCTCTATGTGATCAAGTTGCACTAATGCAGGACAGGATTCTAATTGTTAAGGAAGAAAGAAGATATTTATTGAAAAGATTATTGATGTATCCACCTGAAGCAGAAATATTGAATCAACAAGAACGTGAACATCATTCTCCATCTCCAAATGATTCGAACATAAACCGGAAAATTAAGAGAAGATCTTATGCTGATAGTGAGTCACATATAAACTTTTTGTGTCATTTTGATATCAAATATTCTATCTCTGTAAATATTATAATTTATGTTATATGATGTAGCTAAATCTAGACAGAAATCAATCAAAGCTGTAGAAAAGAAAATTGCACAAAAAGTTCCAGTTGATGCATTTGGGAGGCCAATATTTCCTTTAGAACTAGGCAATCTTACCATACATTCACTAGGTAAACCAAAATTCTAAATTTATTACTTTATTTGATTTCTATCACCTATTTCAATTTTCAGGAGAAGTAGTTTGTGATAGACCGGCTTATCATGATGTTGACTGTATATATCCAGTAGGATTTGTTTCTACAAGAATTTATGGTAGTCTTCGAGACCCTGAGAAAAAAGTTACTTATACTTGTAAAATTAGTGATGGTGGAAATTCACCTAGGTATAAAGAAATAGAGATACAATTCATGAATGTATCAACAAACTTAAGATTTGATAATTATGTTTTAGATTTGAAATATCTGCTGATTCGGATCCAGATTCTGCAATTGTTGGAAGCACATTAAACTTCTGTCATGGAATGCTGTTGCAGCAAATTTTCAAAGCAGCTGCTATACGAAGTTCAGATTACCAGCAAGCTAATGGAGCTGCCTTTTTTGGATTATCGAATCCTACAGTATTAAACTTAATACAAAGCATGATACGAGTTCGAAAATGCCAAAATTACAAATGGAGCAAATTTGAAGTAAGTTTTAATAGATAGTTCATTTATTATTAAATAAGTGAGATAATTTATTTACATAATTATTTATTCGCAAAACATTTTAATGACATGAATATTATCTATAGTTAACTCAAACACCTTTGGATACTATTATTGAAGACAATGATCCAACACTTAGTTTTGAAGCCCTTCAATCAGCAATTTTTAGATCTAATTATCATACTGTACCAGAAATTAAAGAAGAGCCTCCAGATGAATTATTAGATCAATCTGTGAATCTTTAAATACACTCAGAGGTGAAAAAGCTTTATTATAAAATAATTACAATTAAACAACTTTATTTAATAGAAAAAACCTTTTAATAATAATCTTATGTACATATTACCAGTCATTTTGTCATGTCGATATAATATTTGCTCATATCAAATAATTTATATACACCTTATATAGAATTGAATCACATTTGCAGTCTTATTTCATGTAAATTACTTAATTTAATAATTTTTATTTCATTTTAGCCAATAATGTAGTACTAGACTGCTGCCAAAAATAATGATCATACTTATTTTGATCTATATATATATACTTTAAAACAAATTAAAATTTCCTAACCCAGCTATCAAAAAAACCACAAATCAAAATAACCATGCAATGATTTTTATCTCATCGATATCTAGGTGTGTCAATTAATCTGGAACTTGAATATTGTTTTATTGGTTTTGATGGATTATCTTTATGCCTTGTTGGAGTGTACAGTACTTTTGCTTGCCCCGGTTTTATAGTTTGGTTAAATAAAGTGTTTGATATTGCAATCACAGGTTTGAAAAGCGGTATGGAAATATCACTGTAATAGGTAAATATTTACTATTTGAATCAATGAATATATATATATGAATATGTTAATAATTTACCAAGCATCAGTAACAGGACTAGCTTCATTCCCACTCAAGATAAATAAAGGAAACAGTATAGAAAAGACACAGCCACTGAAAAATAAAAAATGCATAGAAATTGCAGAAATTTGCTATACAGTTTTATATTACCTAATTAAATAAGATCCAGGCAGTTGAGTTAAAACAGCTAGAGGCAAACCGAATCCTATAAAATATGGCCAGTTGGTTTCAATAAAAGTAAGTCGACTGTGTAATTCCCAACCCATGTTAAACCATTTGTATTCAAACACATATAATGAGTACAAAAGGCACATATGAACAAGACAAAGAAAATCACCGATTGGTGTTATAGGAAACCATTGCATCAACATTGCCTGTAACAAATACAATTTAGTGAATTTCATTCAAAACAATGATATTTATAGGTATAAATATTTATACCTGTAATAAGAATAAAACTTGCACTAGTAAACTGAAAAGGGTGTCTGCAATAAGCTTACTAATACTTGAAATAAATTGTGGTCTCCCTCTACTGTAACGAAATGCTGAATCAGCAATATCTTGAAACCATAAGCTGTTCACAATTTTGCTCAAGAAAAATAGAGGCACCACCCAAAACATTCGAAAGGTCAAGGATAGAAATGGTTCCATCCAGTACCATATATCATGTGCTGTGCCTTTATTATGTCCAAAAATAAAACTCAAAAATAATTTTAGCCCAGGAAGCAAAGCATATTCAAATATAAAAATGCTCATCCAGAAAACACCACCATTCAAAGCACAACACTGTAAAATTCTTGTCATCACTTTGGATTCTCTGAAAAATTAAGTGGCCCCATTTAAACATGAAATGTAACACATATTTTAGCTTAGATGTGGTAACATTTGCTTATATTATTTGTTGATAGCAAATGTAATCATGGCTAAGCTTTGTTTTTATCACATACTCTTGTTGATTTGAACTTTTGTGACTAGATTTGTTATGGGGCATATTTGCAGGAGATCGATTAGTCGTTAATTTTAAATTAGCTCTTTCATTCATTTCTTTGTCCATATAGAAAAGAACGACCATTCCTCGGACACTGTCCACAAAACCCCTAAACATTGCCAATGATATGTTCTGAAATGAAAAATATTAGGTTATAACACGTATAATGGCAATTTAAAGAGATAAAAGAAAATTTGATCTTACAAATACCATGATTAATAAATAATTTTGGTTGTAATAAAATTTAATAACAATAGATTTTGAACAATAAAAAAAAAATCAAACTGTCACTGTTTGTGCCATCGCATGGTAATAAATGAACTATCTCAGCGATTTCCAACCTGTGGGATGTGCGTTTGGAAGATGCGATACTATTATATTATATAGTATATTATTTTATATATCGTTAAATAAATTGTAATTTCAGTTGAGTATTTATAAAATTCGATTGTTAAAAAAAAATTAAAGAAGCGCAGCGCAATTTTTATTTTTTAAATGTGGGAGTTGTCCTACGAAAATGTTGGAAACCACTGAACTTTTTAAGAAATCGTTCTGTCATTTATGTCAAAACAGTTCGCGTTATTACATACAAATAGTAATAGTTAAATAATTTAAAATATCAGTATTTATTAAAATATAATATAAATAGAGTTAAAATTATTATGTGGTGTCATTAAAGAAATATTGAAATGGTTATTTATGGTGTATATATTGTTAGTAAATCGGGAGGACTGATATTTAACCATGACCATAATATTCCTAAAATTGAAAATGAGAAAACATTTAGTTATCCTTTAGATATTAAACTGCAAATAGAAAACAAAAAAATCATTGTAGCATTTGGTCAAAGAGATGGAATACATGGTGGGTAATTTACATTTGTTTATTTATTGTTAGGAGTGTAATAATCTGGCATAACATGAATTTCTTTAAAAATCTATGCCTTTTGACTATATATAATCCTAGCTTTTATTAGGTGGAACTAAAGTTTACTAAAACAGTAACTGATATTTACCAATTTATTATCTTTCAGTCGGCCACGTCTTAGTGTCTCTCAATGGTAGTCCTGTTCTGGGTACTTCATTGGAAGACGGGCGAGATGTAATGGAAATAATAGAAAAACGTGAAAGCTATCCATTGAATTTGAGATTTAGTAGACCTAAAATGACCACAAATGAGAAAATATTTCTTGCTAGTATGTTTTATCCTCTATTTGCCATTGCCAGTCAATTAAGTCCAGAACCCAAAAGTTCGGGTATAGAAGTTCTTGAAGCCGATACATTTAAACTATATTGTTTCCAAACTCTTACAGGTAAAATATTAAATTTATAAGTTATATTATTACTTTGCAATAAATAAATGTAAAATATGAAAATATTTTAATAATATTGCAGGAGTGAAATTTATGGTTGTAGCAGAACCTTTACAAACAGGAATGGAAATTTTATTAAAAAGAATTTATGAATTATATGCCGATTATGCATTAAAAAATCCATTCTATTCTTTGGATATGCCTATTAGATGTGAATTATTTGAAAACAATTTACAGACATTATTGGAGCAAGTTGAAAAGTCAGGCATTAGCAATATATAAATGTAAAATATGAAAATAAAGGGCTATTTATTTACATAATTTTTTACTACTTAATCATCAACCATCTTAAAGGAGTGTAGAAGTAGAATACAGACTCTGGCCATGTCTCGGATACTTTGAATAATCTGTTTTCTCAATATACTGTCAGAAATTTGAGAGACCCACCAACTTTGCAACAATATTACTGGCTTAGTGGGCACAAATAACTGAAAAATGGTCACAGATTGACCCAAACTCTAGGTTGTATGTAAAAAAGAATAATGTTCAAACAGCAAACTATCTTATTGATTATTGAACAGATTATTGAAGCTATGATTATAATTAAGTATGGCAAAAAAAGGGTACAATGAAAGAGTACTTATCTTGCCTTAATCAATTGTATTGATTATTTTTTAGCTATAGAAAAAATTATTTTCGAATAACAGTTGGAAACTGTATCTAAATATCTAAATCTAAATTCTTATTCATTGAGCTGGTTACGTATCCGAAGATTAATGCAACTAGTTCAATTATTTTATTCAACAAATATAAAATGTCCTTGCCTTTCCATTCAGTTTGAGAATCTCTGACATTTTCTTCATAACATAACCTACTTTTAATATGTCAATTATTTCATTTTATGAGAATTTATAAATTGTTTGTAATGCCAATATACAAGAACCAAGACAATATTAGAATATAATATATTCATACTGTGCATAAGTATGTAATCGAATATTATTACGATATAGTGAAAATAATAAGTAATTATATATCACTTTATTAAGTATTTGTGCAAAATGACAGAAAACTTGCAGCATTTGGGCCATGTGGAATTAGAAGAGGTACAAAAAAATTTCTTACTTTCAATTATAAATTGTTTTCATCTTTCATTACATTTAAATATTACATTTTCCTTTGCAGTTTGTGCATTCCTCCATAAATTACATGATGGGATTATCTATACCCGCTGAAATATCACAAGATTTAACAAAGGAAGATTTAGAAACAGCGAGAAAATCATTAAACTCAATCTTATGTTCAGTAGCAATGCTTGAACATGAAAACGAGGTGCAAAATAATCTGTATGAAAAATTACCAAACTTAGAAAAATCTCAAAAGGAATGCATTTATGAAATCTTTAAAATTCGTAGAACTGATATTATGAAATACATGGTGAGTAAAAGTAGCAAGAGATGAGTTATCTAAAACAGAATAATAAATAGTCAAATAGTTTAAAATATTAGATTTTAAGATTTTTAAATTATATATAAATGAAAGAAGTTGTGGGTATAACTTTATTGAAAAACATGTATGCTAAAGAGAAAAAATCTGGTTTAAATATGCTGCACATATGTTATCTATGATGGCAGATATGTTTTATAATCAGAAAAACAGTGGCAATGAAAATTAATAAGGGTTCGAGCATAAAGTTCATAAGTTCATAAAGTAATGTAAATGTATTAAATTTAAAGAAATACAAAGATATTATTGGTGCAAAAGAGCTTTTAACATTACATTTACGCAGCCTCTGGTATCGCTACTGGCATAGTTACTTTTAATATCTGAAAAATATAAATTATTTATAAACCTTAAAATAAAATTATTTTGTTACATTTGAAATATTACCGAAGAATGTTTGTTAAATTCAGCTGCAACTCCGTCTTGATTGATATTATAGGGAATAAAAATGTCTAGAAAGAATCCAGAATTGGGTGCTTCTAAAACAATTCGATCTTCTCCAATATCCAAATAAAATTCTTTCGTTGAAAACTATAGGAGACAAATTTCTATGAGTATTAATGTAAAATGTGACTTAATGTTTTCTATCTTACCACTCCAGTGAGTAAAAATTCTCCAAGCAACTTTTTTGGCTCTCCTATATCTGGTTCTCGTAAAATTCTGTATTGTGGTGTTCTAGTTTTTGGTAAAATGTCCATTACTTCTTCTATCATAGGTTGTTTCTTTTTGGTATCCTCATTATTTTGATCTCCAGGAATTTCAATACCTTTCATTTTTGCTAGATCTCTATCTTGGATTTTATGACTCTGCAACTGTCCGAATGCTTTTTTATTTTTTAAAATAATAAATTCCTCATGATTCACTGTAATGTTATGTTTGAATTCCAAAGCTTCAAACACAACTCTAAACAGGAACGACTTAAAAATATCATCATCAATTATTTTTACAAAGTAAGAAGGATGAATGGCAATGTCTATGACGATCACAGATTGTTTCTTGTTATCAATATCATTCTTAGGCTCTCCTATGCTCATAGGAATTTTATATGAATCGGCATCCATAGATCCAAGAATATCCAAAAGTTCATCGGTGGTAATATCCTTTGGGGGAGGCACAGCATCAGTCTGGCATATATTGACAAAGACTTTTTTGTTATCAGGGATGGTGTGAGTTTTCACACAAAGACCTGAAGAAATAAATAATAAATCTGTAAAGACTTGTAAACTCATTGCTATTGAAAATTGCTATTTTCCCACTTAATCAATGCTTAATGATTGTTTCAATCGTGATAAAGATTATTTATTAACAACCAGTAGGAGAAGATTATGTTTTTTCAAAAAGGCCGATTTGCTAATTTTGTGTTTCTCCAAGGTATCAAGTCATTAGGAATCGTTTGAGACCAAAAATTTTGAACCGATTTCGGAAAATTAAATATGGTTTGAAATATATGATATAGGAAACGTGCTGATTAGTTTTCGGTAAACATTAGCTGAACGGTTTCGTTTTGACGATTTTAATCAAACTTTGCATTGTGTTAGAGTTAAACCATTCTAAAATTTAAAAGTTTTTAATCGAAACGCCATTTTCGAAATAAAAAGTTGAAAATTTTATCGTCGCAACACACCAGGACGTGCAACTTGCCTTAAGGCCAAAATACAACTTACATCTAGTTTTTTATATATTTATTTTATTTCATAAAATCAGTATTAACAGGCATTCTTGTTACATTTATCAAAACAAAAAATAAGTTATGAGAAAATTATATAAAAACTTAAAGCACTATAAATCACACATGGCCAAATAAAATAATCATAAATCTATATCTAAAATTTTTATTTGTGCTCCGTGACAATATTAATTTGATTAGAAAATCAAGAGTATTGACCTAAATATTTTCTTATCATACAATTAAAATAATATGGGGAATGATATTTAGCATGTATTAATAATTAAATCATTATGTGGATATTGAGTATAAAAGCATCATTAATTCAGTAAATACACATCATTGAATATGATTTATATGTCATGTAAATCATTAAAGAGCATGTATTTTTATTTGAACATAAAATTAATTTGTTACACGTATATGGTGTGGAATAAGGTACTATAATGGCCATTTAGAAAAAAAGCTCCAAGGAATTAATACAACCGTTGTTTGGTCAATATTTTTTCATTCTGTCTATTTATAGTCTTACGAATGTACCCTAAATATGTATAATATATATATATATATATATATATATATATATATATATAAATCTGAAAATATGTAGATATTATATATCCTGATACATATTTTAAGGATCCTTCTCTACATTTGTTAAATAAAATTGTGTATCTCAAATCAAGAGAGCAATTAATAATTTCCTTAGACGTGTACACAGCAATCGTATAGAGAAAAATGAATATCATTCAACTTCTTTAATAATGTCATGGTCTAGTTAATAAATTACAATTACACGAACATTCTTTATGGTGTTACTATTATCAATAATGTCAATGGCAACGCGAATAAATTCTTTGCCATCTTAAAAATGTTAATAGTAAAAAAACTTGATGGTTTTTTATGTTTTCATGATTCATGCCGCAATTTACAATTTTACATGAATGAGTTTCGTATAAACAATTTTACTAGGTGTAATTGGCATTTTTCCTTAAAGCAAGTTGCATGAACTTTCTGATATGAGATTTATTTATTGAGTTACATCAAACGGCTTTCAAATTTTTGAATCAGTTCATCGGTCACATTTTGGTTCAAATTTTGTCAAAAGATTCAGAATGACTTACTAACAGTTTGTTGATTTCATTTATGTTAGTAGAAAACTCTACCAGTTCGCGTTAGAATTTATTCATGTGCAATGATAACGTTTTTTAGATGTTAACCAAAAAATTGAAACTACAAGAACTGGATTTGCAAGGTCTTTTTGTATACAATACCGTATTCCACCGAATTTGAATTCGTCTGATAGTCTAGTCATTATAGTAAGTTCACCTCGGAATTCGAGATACCCAGCTGATGCCTGAAAACCCTAAAATATCACCCTAAAAGTTGTCTCAAAACCTACGTATGGTAGAATGCTATTTTGGGTATCTCGAATTCCGAGATTCTTATCTAATTTAAGTTTAAATGACTGAACTACGATGAGTTCGCCACAGTTAATTGGTCAAATCATGGCAATGAGAATGAAAATTAATATGCATCACCATGTAGCATGTAAACAATTATCTTATTATCTGATTATATTTATATTTGCTATTGAAAAGGCTTGGTATAAACAGTTATTCATCTCAATCATCTAATTTCTATTAATTGCTAATATTTATAAATTATTGTGTTTAAATAAATTCGTTATCTGCGGCGCAAACATATAATTATTGATAAAAAGGATAGTTGATATTACATCACGTCGCCCACCAAGGACAACTACTATGTGCACGAACATCTATGCTTTACTAGATAATTTTATATAGAAATGCTATTCAAAATTATAATTTTATTTATCAATTATGTTTCTGTATTGACCTTGGCAGACGATAATATTATCATTCAAAATCTTGAGTCTTAAATAAAAAAAGAACCTTGCTCATGTTTGATGAGCAGATGAGTTCCATATAAACAAACTTCTAGTCCATAATAGAATGAATAAAAAATTCTTGTTAATTTTTGTTCAAACTTGAACGACATGTTTGTTGTTCAAATATTCTTGTCTGTACAGGAATTAGTTATACAAATAGATGCATATTAATTGGAAGAAATTTTAAATGGAACCGTGTAATTAAAAATATAGTAAGTGGTAATATGTCTTGAGGCAAGTAGCATTAACTTGTAAATAATCGACTTAAGAAGTGAGATTTAAATAAAATTTTCAAATTTTAGTCCATATTTGAATGAATTTTTATAATTCAATCGCTTTTTTCTTAGGCCTACATTACTTTAGGATGTTTGCTAGACCATGATCTCTATCGCCATGTTTCATTAAAAATTAAATTGCAAAAAAACTATAAGCAAAAACAAAAGTTTCTGCATTCTCTATGTAATTAAAATATATTTTAAACATTATTTATTCTTGTTTACTCCTTCCGCGAGAGATAATTACTACGTGATTTTTTATTGTGAAGATTGTTCTTGCAATCAAAGAATTTATGACTAATACTTATTTTGATAAAAAGAATATGTGATGAATTAATATTTATAGCATGATTATTGATCATGTGCGATTATTATCCATAATTTACAATTTAGCATTACAAGCAATTTATCATCCATATATGGTCGGAAAAACAGTTAAAATTTCATTTGAAAACTGCTAAAACATTGGTAAATTTTCATAGTTGCGCCATGTTCCAAGAAGTGATGAAATTCATACTCATTAGATCATTTGAAAATTAAACGATGATTTGCAAAAAATCTTGTAATATATTACTCACAACACAACTATATATAAATACTTTTATCAATATGAGGTGCCCGCAGATAACAATTGAGTGCTTGAATTTTTTTTTTAATTTGGATTTTTGATGAAACGAGAATTGAAAATTTGAAAGTTGAAACAAGAATTGGTAAGGAGAACCCTTCGTTGCTCGTCTAGGATTTTGATGAAATTTAGAATGATGATAGATTTTATGCCCAAATTGATCCCGGGGAAATATCAGAGGCCTATGAAAAGCGGTTTAATTATTAAAATTCATTAAAGCTTGCATATTAGTAGCGATATAGATATACAATACTGACAATATATTGAATTGTAAAACATCGCATGATGTATTGATTCATTATGTACCTTTCAAATATTAATTAGTAAGGTAACCATATATTTGAATTCAAATAATTAAAGTCTAAGGAAGGTGCTGGTCAATCTTTATCAAAAACAAATCAGCACGATTGCCTACTTGTTTCGTTTTTAAATTATAAAAATCAGTTCAAAAACTTTTTTGTTAAAGTCTATAAATAATGTTCATAAAAACGTTTTCAAAAATTCAATTATTGTCTCTAGAAAATTCTGAGTCCCAAGGTAGAATTCCCGGACTGTCCCTGCTAATCCGGGACATATGATGGTCACCTTAAAAAATGCATTTCATCGTGACCATGTCAATTTTTCAGTCACCAGTTACGAGTTCGAAATATTCAAAAATGAGTATGTTATTAAAAAGGTAAGGCAGCTATCATTATGAAATATGTTTGCCTTATATCAAATATCACATTGATTATATTAACACCACAGACAATGCTTGCTCTTGTCCCGATGAAATTTAATCTGACTACTCTATTATCACGAAGTGATAAAGAGGGAATCAAGGTACTATAGTTAGATAAGCTTAAATTTGAATGGCCTTCATGGTTTTTGCCAAATCATTTGAGTTTCGAAATCGAATTTGCAAAATATGGAAAACATTCTTGGATAAAAAGAATTACAATTGGAAATCAAATCTTAGGTGGTTGCTACATAAAAGTAAAAACTGCTACATTTTTACCAATGCATCATTTCTTTTACTATTACACCTGATTAATTATAGTTTTCCTAATCATCAGTTATTCAATTTCCATTTATCGATCGGTACAGGAGTTCCCGTGCAAAGCAAAATAATTGATTAGTTTTTAAACGGTCCATTCACATTTAATTCTTTGTGTGTAAATGAGGCGAAACACATTTGTCTAATAATTCTAATCCGGCATTTGTCAATTTGTTATTTAATAATGTTATGTAAAATCGCAAATGCATACAAACGAGAAGGTCGTTGCTATATAAACACAGGCAGAAACCGTTATTAGAAAATCAGTGGCGTGCATGGGAAAAAAGAGGAAGGATACAAGATGAATTTTGGACAATTTTTGGGAACTTGACATATTCTTCGAGTTGAATCCGTTGATTAGTAGGCAATCCACTGATTGTCCTTACAATCTGCGATGAAGGACAAATTGATCCTGAACGCTATTAGAAGATAACACCATGATTGGCCATCCACTTTGGGTATTGCATCAGCAATGCCCAAAAGGGCTATTTACGCTTAAAAACTTATTGCTTTCTATGTCCTCAAGTGAAAACCACTTCTTGATATCTAATTTTTAAGCAGTTTTTTAAATTGACTATCTCATCGCTACCGACCATAATAGGTAATAATTAATTCAGTCTCGCTATCATGTTATCTATGGAAAATCATTAGAACGTACTTGTTACCTACAGTTTATATCATAAAAATACTATTATTCATAAAATCATTAGCAATTTGCGATAAAACATAACTGATACGTAGATTAGGTAAACAGCGTTAGTCACAACGCGCCATGACTCCGGTATTTTCAAAGCCAAGTTCTAAATTTTAAATTTGTTCCAAGTTTTAAATTTTATGGTAACAATAATTTTATGGTAATAATTTTAGTGTAAATCATAAATATAAAGCATACAATTAACAAGTATCACATGTATAATAAAATGAGCATTGCATGTTTTATAACATCTTGCTCTTTCTACAGTCAATTGCTTATTGAAGCAAATCCTACCATATGAATTTTTAATATTATTTATCTTTTATTTTTTTTACTTATGTATTATAATTTTTTATTTATATTTTATTTATCTATATAACTTATAAAGCTCTATTTACCTTATAACAAATTAAATATAACAAATTATTAAATTAAAGCTTTAATTTTTAAGATTCAATTCCGGAAATATAGTTGCATTTCGTATAGATTAATATATTAATTTTATTTGAATACACTACATCTTATTTAATTGTTTATTGATCAAAATGAATATTTTAGTTGCATATGAAATACCAAAGATGATTAATTAAATTAGTAATTATTCAAAGAAAATAATATCATGTAAAATGATAATAGAAATAGCTGCTTTGCAACAAAATATGCACGTCACTTTTACCATATTAGTAATATATAATATTTATCCAAATCTACCCCATTTTTTTACATCTTCAAACTTTAGGCATAGATATTTGATTAGGAGGATCTTTTGTTTTTTTTATATATCATATTTATATTGTTGAATTTATTATTGATATTTTCATTTATCAATCTCATGTCGTATTGAGGATATCAAATTGATTAACTACTATCAATTGAAATAGTTGTGGCACATGTACCGCTAAAATATTATACAAGTATAAGCATATTTTGTTCAGATTGTACATGATGACTCAGCTTTTTTAAAGTCGCCAATGATGGTCATGGATAGACTCATCATTTACTTTACAAAATTATAATTTAATATTAATTTTATTCAGTGTATTTATGGCAAAATTATATAAATTTAAATTATAAATATAAATTATATAAGTGATGAAGAGACAAATTTATATGATATATATGAATGATTTAAATCTCCAAAATTCAGTTATAAAGTCCATAGTGAATATAGCTCAATTAAGCCATAAAAAAACAGGATGACAAAATGGTGAAGCAGCAATACCAACAATTACTGTCAACAAAAATTTTAAGTATCTAAAATCCTTACTTGTACCTATATTTTTATTTATGGAAGTTAATATAAAAATGTAACAAAAATCTAAATTGCATAATTTTGTATCACAAATTTAATGACCGTGTATCATGTGAACCGATAAACAATCATCGCAGAAAGCAATTCGGCCGCAATAAAGCTTCACGCATTGTCATGCCGTTAGTCGAATGTGATGTGTAGTGACGTGAGGATGTAGGACCAAAATTATTGTACAAAATATATTTACCTGGTGATGGCTTCACAATTTTGAAAGGCATTGTACTCGTAGCAGGCTGGATAAGTTTTTCTAAAGGATCAACCGAGTCCTGAGGAACAAAATATCGAACAATCAAATACAAAAACGAACCTCAAAAAAAATTTTTTTTCACTCACCGGCATCACGAACAAATTTTTCTCCATGATACTTTCATCGACGTCTAACACAATGCCTTTTTTATTCATTTTTTAAGTGATTTTAATAGATTTTTTTACTATTTTAAAGATTATTAGTGTTTGTGAATGAAATGTCGTGGTGTTTTTTATTGAATAAGTTAGTTAATGTTGTGTACGCTAGTTGTCGCTAGGATTGCGATTTATTTGACAGCTGATTAGTACGAGCGCGCGCGTCAAACACACATGTCAAGAATTGGGGACAGCGCGATGGATGAATATTGTGGTTCCACGTTCTGGGTATGTATTTCAGGCTAAAAAACTTATTTTGATAATAATTATTAGATAAATCTAAGTAGACAACATGTCCATCATATTTTTGCACAAATGTCATTGAGAGAGAACTCATTTGTTTTTATTTTAACCTAGATAATTTGCTATAAATAACCGTAATATTTTACGAAAAAAAGTCCTAAATCAGTTTTCTTTAATGCTTTCTTTACTCTTCAATTATTACATGTATTAATTAACAGATATATCTAAATTTAATTCTGAAAATAATACTTAAAATACAAATATTGTTGATTTATGAATTATTTATAGAATTTCCTTTAACACTTATTAGTAATTCTTTGTGATAATTAAATTTATCTATATTACCCCTCTGGGATTATAAATATTCAAATAATTTGAATCTAATTGTTGTACTGCACATTTTTAATTTATATACAATTATAACAGTTTTGTGCAAACAGTTAAGATTTTATACAGAAAGTTAATTTATAATAAAACTTTATTTAATATGTTAACTAATTTGATCTAACTGAAATATTTCTTAATTAGATAACATATACCAACTCATAGTAATAAATTTCATAATTTTCTACACTAACAATTCACTCTGATCATGTTACAATCAATTTATGAAATTTCTGTTAAAGCGATTTATTATCATTTTTCCAGAATTATTCATTAGCATGGGAAACAGATGATCCAGATCTGACACCATGTTTTCAACAAACAGTATTAGTGTATGCGCCCTGTGCTTTATTATGGCTTTTTGTGCCTATGGAACTATATTACGCTTGGAATAGTAAAAAGAAAAATGTGCCTTGGAGTTTTTTGAATATTTCAAAACTATTATTGACTGCATTAGTGATTGTTCTTTCTTTTGTTGATTTGGGATATTCAATATCTTTAAGTAACAGTGAAAATGTGTATAATGTGTCTTATTATACTCCTACGATAAAAATATTAACATTTGTAAGTATATATTTATTTATTCATTAAAATTTCTAGTGCTTATAAATTACTTTGAAACATGTTTATATATTGTAGTTGTATCAGATTAAAAATTGTTATTTTCTTGCTAGTGATGATTTAAATTTATAATTTTCAGTTATTATCAGCCACATTGCTATTTTTAAATAAAAGACATGGTATTCGGACGTCAGGTTTACAATTTTTGTTCTGGTTCTTACTTGTTATTGGAGCAATACCTCAATTTCGAAGTGAAATTCGAAAATATGATGATACATATAAAAATGAATTATATTTTATTACCTACATGATATACTTTCCAACAATATGTGTTATCTGGTTTTTGAACTGCTTTGCAGATAAAGAACCCACTTACAGTGAATATGAAAAGTCTGAAGTAAGTTTAATTGATTCTTATATTTTCATAGAATTTTGATTACATTTTTTAAATGGTTATTTAATTTTAGAAACCATGTCCAGAATCCCAAAGTGGATTTTTAGGAAGACTGTTCTTTTTATGGTTTGAACCAATGGCCTGGTTAGGATACAGGAAACCATTGGAAACATCAGATTTGTGGGAAATGAATCCAGAAGATCAATGCATAGAAGTAGTTCCTTTGTTTGATAAATATTGGGAAAAATCAGTAGCAAAATATAAAAAGTTATTATCAAAATTCAATAAAACCTTGATTAAATTAAATGACAAGTTTGATCATTATACATATTTTTAGTGTTAGTGGTGCAAAAGCTTCATTCAGCAAGGTAGCAAATAGTGTTGATATAGTTGATACGAAGACTAAAAAGCAAAAACAAGCTTCAATTATGCCAGCTCTTTATAAAGCATTTGGAGCAACATTTGCCTTTGGAAGCTTACTTAAACTTTCACAAGATCTTATGATTTTTATCTCTCCACAAATTCTTAGGTATTATTCTTGAATTTCATTTTATAAATAAAACTTTTTATATTTTTTTTTTATCTCTTTAGTGCTCTTATAAAGTGGACTACAAATAAAAATGAAGAGTTATGGAAAGGATTTTTTTATGCAGCTTCATTTTTTATAACTGCAACTATACAAACTTTGGTGTTATCTCAATATTTCAATAAAATGTTTTTAGTCGGTATGAGAATCAGAACAGCTTTAATTAGTGCTATATATAGAAAGGCATTAAGAATGTCAAACAGTGCCAAAAAGGAATCTACTGTTGGTGAAATTGTTAATCTCATGGCTGTTGATGCTCAAAGGTAATGAAATATTTTATAAATAGTATATTTAACCTTTTTAGCAAGTGATCTATATAAAAATTATTCTTTAATTCTGAAAAAAAAATTCAGTTTAAAATTATATTGTTTCAGATTTATTGATTTAGTAGCTTACATCAATATGTTGTGGTCTGCACCTCTTCAAATTATTCTGTGTATGTACTTTTTGTGGGAAATTTTGGGACCATCCGTACTAGCTGGTTTAGCCGTTATGATTATCTTGATTCCAGTCAATGGAGTTATTGCTAATAAAGTAAAAACTTTGCAAATTAGACAGATGAAGAATAAAGATGAACGTGTGAAACTGATGAATGAAGTTCTCAGTGGAATTAAGGTGACAATTATTTAATTTAAAAAAAATACTCATTAATTGTTTGATATTGTAAATTACAATATTTTCTCTTTGTTTACTAAGTATTTGTCTGTGTTTACTAATTATTTTTTCTTGATAAGGTTTTGAAATTGTACGCCTGGGAACCAAGTTTTGAGGCGCAAGTTCTCAAAATTCGTGATAAGGAAATCAAAGTACTAAAAGAGGCTGCATATTTAAATGCTGGAACATCATTTATTTGGTCTTGTGCCCCTTTCCTGGTAATGTATAAGAAATCATTTTATATATTCAAGTTGAAATTCAAAGTTATAAAATTTTATATTCATTATTTTTCATAAAGATTTTCTCTTTTATTTTTATGCAGCATATCTTTTTGCTGTTTTAGAAAGGGCTTTACAATTTCAATGATTTTTATCATTTTTCATAAATATTTTTTTATATTATGACATAATATTTACAATTCAATGATAAATAGGTAAGTTTGTTGACATTCATGACTTACGTTTTGGTGGATTCCAACAATGTTCTGACAGCAGATAAAGTATTTCCAGCCTTAGCATTATTTAATATTCTCAACATGCCTCTCGGCATTCTACCTATGCTAGTTGTTTATGTAGTCCAGGTAAAATTGAGACAAAATTTGTTAGTAAACCTAATTCAACTAACTTAGCACATTAGGTACTTACATAGCAACTTTATGTAAGTAACTTGCAGCTGCAATTCTGGATTTAACAATATTTTTATCAGTTATATGGTTTAGAGCACAGGTTATACAAAATATTTCTGATTTTTGCATATAAAACACTTCAATTATTTTTCATTATTCATTATCTGGTATGGTGTAAATACATCTACTCTTTACAGTACCTACAGTTAAAATATGATCTATCAAAAAAGCACTTAATAATTTATAATCATACTCAAATTAACTTAATCGCCATATTTTTGAATTTACTTATTTTTGTAAATATATTTGGGATCTTCTCAGAAATTTAGTTGTTGGTAGTCTCTTTTTCAATCAACTTTTGTAAAAAGTGGTTTAGGATAATTTCATTTATTGATAATCTTAATTATTAAATTGAAATAGGTGACCCTGGTTACGTTCATGACTTATGTTTTGGTGGATTCAAACAACATATTGACTGCCGATAAAGTATTTACGTCTCTCGCATTGTTTAATATTCTTAATATGCCAATTGCTCTACTTCCCTTGCTAGTTGTTTACACTGTACAGGTAATTTAAAACAATATCTTTCAAAATTGCTGCGGCATTCAGGGTGCAAATAGGTTCCCATTATTTGTGTTATTAGATTATTTGATTCAATTTCATTTTGTTCCTAAAACATATTTTATTGCTTTTTCGTGATGTTCATGAAAATCAGAGTATTATAAGTAAAACTAAACCGCCTTCAATTTTTAAGATGTATTTTTAGTTATTTTCAATAAATTTAGGTGAGTCTTACCACATTTATGACTTATGTTTTGATTGACTCCAATAATGTTCTGACTGCAGACAAAGTTTTTACTTCCCTTGCGCTGTTTAACATATTAAACATGCCTTTAGCATTTTTACCAATGTTAATAGTGTTCACTGTTCAGGTAAATTATGGAACTTATTCAATCTTTAGTGCTTTATTGTACAACGTTTTATTGAGCCAATCATATTGCAAAGCAAATGCTTTCAAATCATTTTGTGTAAGCTTTATCCAAATAATAAGACAAACGAACCAACTAGAGTTGCAACAATTAATTACACATTAAATATTGCTTCTTCAATTTTTAAGAATTCAATCTCTAAAGGAAGTAGCACAAAACATTATTTATCCAGTCGCTTTATTATATTTTGCTATTCAATTTTAGGTTTTTTTATTCTTCACAAAATTGTTGATGCTGAATTATTGTAATTTTTGTTTATAGTTGATCAAATTTAAAAAATGTCTGAATTTTACTCATAATTGTCCACAAGTTTAGTCCATTGGAAATAAGCATTTAACTACTCGGTCTATTATAAAATTGCTTTCTCGATCTCATTTATTTTATTTTGGTGGCGGTGCAGGTATCATTGGTAACATTTGCGACATTTGTTCTGACCGACGAGGCAAACATTTTGGATTCGAACACTGCTTTCGTCTCTTTATCACTGTTCAACATTTTGAGATTTCCACTCTCCATGCTGCCGATGATGATCTCCAACATGGTGCAAGTAAGAGGAACATATCAAACTCGCTACAAATAGAAAAACTCTTTAATTAATCGAGATAAGCTTCCTATCAGTTCTTGGTTTAACAGTGTTTCAAATATTCCTCTAGTTATTCTATTCTCTAATTTTGTCATTTATTCTATAATGATATGTAAAAAGTCAGTTCAATCAAAATTATTTTAAACCAAGGACTGAGAGGTTCTTAAAAGCAAGTTTGGAATATTATACCAGAACTTCTACAACTTAATTTACCCCATGTATTAATTTGTTAACTTCTCTTTAAACTATGTAGTTTAATTTAAATTGAACAATTGATTTAGCTTTTACATTTTATAATGTAGAGTAGTTTGGAACATTAACAATTCTTGTCAATTAATATGCCAAATGCAAAGCCAAATTATAATATTTTTAATGCTTATTTTTATTGTTAAATTAGTTATTGTGTTTATAATTTCAGTTATGTATCTGTTTATGAAGATAAGAAATTGATGTAAATTGAATTTAAAGCGCATGCAAGCATCCTGTATTTGAACTTCATCATTGTTCTAATCATATTTTTTTTTTGCTTTTTGTATTTATAAAAACACAGTCTTTTTAATTTTTCACTTCTAATGCTTTGCATGGCTTTTTAACATTTTCAATATGAAATATTGATATACAATGTAAAATGATAAAACATATAAATTTCTACAGGCAAGTGTATCAGTAAAAAGAATTAATAAGTTTATGAATTGCGAAGAACTTGATCCAAGCAACATAACCCATGAGAAATTAGAAGGTATATTTTTTTTTTATCAAAGTTAAATAAAAATATGCTATATCAATATAATTTTACAATTAATTTTATTTCAGAACCTTTGTTAATAGAAAACGGTACTTTTGCATGGGATGAAGGAGAACCTACTTTAAAAGATATAAATTTAAAAGTTAAATCCGGTAATCTTCAAGCTGTTGTTGGTACTGTAGGTTCTGGAAAAAGTTCTTTGCTTTCAGCATTTCTTGGAGAAATGGAAAAAGTGTCTGGTCGCATCAATACTTATGGTTAGATAATTATGCTAAAAATTGCTGATGTAATTTAATACTAAAGTCATTGTTTTTAATATTTGCAGGTACGATTGCATATGTACCCCAACAAGCATGGATTCAAAATGCTACACTGCAAGATAATATTATTTTTGGGAAGCCCATGGACAAAGCTCTTTATGCCAAAGTTGTAGAAGCATGTGCACTTAAACCAGATTTTGAAATGCTACCTGCTGGAGATCAAACAGAAATCGGTAATATATCGATATTTATATAGAATGTATGATTTGTTGCATTAATTGATTAATTCTGCATCGTTTTTATTGTACTATTTATAGGTGAAAAGGGTATAAATTTGTCTGGTGGACAAAAACAGCGAGTTTCTTTAGCGCGTGCTGTTTACAATGGAGCTGACATTTATTTCTTAGATGATCCGTTAAGTGCGGTAGACAGTCATGTTGGAAAACATATTTTCGAGCAGGTAAATATATATATTTATATGTTTGAACTTTCATATCATATGCGTATTAATTTATAATTGAAGAGGATAGTTGTCTGTATGAAATATTGAACCTGTAAATGAATTTCTTTAAGGTAATTGGACCAGCCGGGTTATTAAAGAACAAGACAAGAATTTTAGTTACACATGGTATCACTTATCTACCATACACCAACAATATCGCAGTGTTAATAGGTGGATCAATTAGTGAAACTGGTACATACAAAGAATTGCTCGACAAGAAAGGTGCTTTTGCTGACTTTTTGGTACAGCACATTCAGGAACTAGGAGAGCAAGAAGAAGGTATTTCTGTAATTTATATTCTTTATTTTTTTGGTTTATATTTTTTTTTTCTTTCAGATATCGGCGAATTAAAACAACAATTGGAACAACATCTTGGTGCTGAAGAGTTTAACAATAAATTACAAAGAGCAAGATCACGTACGGATAGTCAATCAGATACGGCATCATTAAATGGCTCATTAAATCAATCTGAAAGTGGTGACAGGAAAAATAGTTTGAACAGGAGTGATAGCAGTCTTCGGCGCAGATCATCTGCAAAAGAAGTTACCGCCGTCAAACCTGTAGAAAAGCCAATAAACACAGGAGAAAAGTTGATTGAAGCAGAAAAGGCAGAAACAGGAAATGTAAGTGTTATTATAAAATGTCTGTTACTTAAGTACTGATGTTCAATTTGTAAATTAAAATATTTTAGGTAAAATGGAGTGTGTACTCACATTATTTACGAAGTATTGGCTTGGTACTCTCACTCACAACTATTTTATTGAACATGATTTTCCAAGGTTTTAGTATAGGATCCAACATGTGGTTAACAGTTTGGTCTAATGATGCAGCACATAGTGCGGAACCTGAAAAAAGAGATTTGTATTTGGGTGTTTATGGTGCTCTTGGTATAGGACAGGGTAAGTTTTAAATTTAATTTTATTTATATTTTAAGATAAATTTTGCAAGTTTTTTTAACAGTATACAGCTTTATTCAAAAGCTGTTTTCTCAATTACTTTTGTTTAAATTTAATTATTCATTGTATTTTAGAACTTTTACTTTTTGTAAATAATCAATTATCAAGCATTCATTAGTGACTTCTAACAAAGCTTAAATTGGTAGAATCGTCCATCTCAAATGTAATAAATACTAACAGCTCATGAAATTTCAAATTGTATATTCTAAATGGCATTCATAAATGAAAATTGTCATTAATTTTGGTCACTAATTTTTATAACAATTTGTATGTGCAATAAAAATATAAGCAGATATTTTATATTGCACTTGTAATTTATAACCAAGCACGATCACGATATATTATATTATTAATGTAGCACTAGCGATGTTTATTGGATCACTTTTACTCTCGCTGGGCACAGTATTGGCTGCCAAAGTGATGCACAATGCGCTTTTCTCCAGATCTTTAAAAGCTCCGATGAGTTTTTTTGATACCACCCCACTGGGTCGTATAATTAATCGTTTTTCAAAGGACATCGACGTTATTGACAATGTACTGCCGATGGTCATCAGAACTTGGATAAATATGTTATTTACGGTAAATTTTTTTGCAATATCGGCTTTGATGAAGACGTGTTCATTGCTACAATTGGGGCGGTTATCCTGAAAAGGAAATAGTTTATATTTAAATTGTTACAGCATTATATTGTCATGGTACCAAAACTCAAATCGATAATGCCATTGTGATATGAGTGTATTATGTGTTAAAGAAAATTACTGCTCTCTTATAAAAGCTTCAAGGATTTTATATATGTTTGCTTTTAAGAACATTTGCTATTCAAAAATTAGTTTTTGAAAACTAGGTCAAAGTTGATGTGTAAGCTGATGAGATAATAATCATAAATCATTTGTTCATTTAGTTTTGCGTTATAAATCATCGACGTATAAAAATTCTAAAATATATTATATAGTAATTGTTAGTACAGACTGATCGTTGCTTTACATCAATCAACTTTGTAGCACTGTCATTCGGATTATTAAGAAGAAGAATTATTTAAAATTTATTAAATAACGTCGAAACGACTAAAATTAAATAACAAGGTTGGAATAACACTGTAAACAATCGAACATATGCATGGAACTTCATAATTCAATCACCGATTCATTTGACTTCTTTAATTTCTCGATTTTCGTTTTATGTCATGCTTTTATCGAATTAGTGTCATTTACTTATTTAATTATAAATCATCATTTCCACATAATCAGATATGTTGAATTGCTTCAACATAATTGCTGTCGGACAATGGTTTTCAACATATATGTAAAGGTGAAATTGGTTTCGTGTGGCTTTTTATATTGTTTGTGGGTTTTGGAAACATTTGTAACACATCTTGGGATTTTTTTCAATGAAAATGGACTTGTTCAGATACTTTGACATTTTCTACAACGTTTTTATACATTAATTAATATAAAATCATCAACGTAAACAGTGTTTTTTAACTATATTGTTATTAATAATTTGGATTTTTAATATAAACTTCTTCTTAACTAAAATTTAAAAAATGGCTATCCTTTCTTTTTCATATAACCATCATATGAGTAACTAAATTCGGTATTTTTAATATAAATTTTGAAAATAAAAGCTTCGTAGATATTATCGTGGATTAAATTTTTGGGAACGTTGGGCACATTGCGATTTTAGATCTACTGGACATTTCGAGAAACTTTACTATAGCTAGGAGCGAGATTTTCAGTAAAGGTTTTTCTCTGTAAATATTAATTTACAAGTATCTGCATTCAATGAAAATTGAAACACTTTTCACATGCTTAAAATATTCTAAGTCGTTCGTTCTGACCATCAACTCAAATTTCCAGACGAATAAACTTATTTTTTTGATTGTTGATATATAGAAATAAACCTTTATTGAAGATATCGCTCGAAATTTACTCCTTTTGTTCAGAAAAGTATCTTGAAATGATTCATTAAAACAGAAAATCGAATTGACTTGCTCTAAAGTATATATCAAAGGTCATTGAATAATAATTACAAATCATGTCAATTTAATAAGTTTGTTTTAAAACGACTAATACAAATGTATTTAAAAGGGTGTTTAATTTATTCATATTTTCTGTAATAGCATTTTTGTTAAATAATTAGTGTTTTTCTTAATTTTCCTGATACGATTGGATCTATTTATTGAATATCTTTAGTACTGTCGGTGTTCATATCGTCGTTGGCACTTTACATCGGTACCCTGAATGCTTCGAAACTGTTACACGGCCTTTTACTATCAAATGTGCTGCGAGCACCTTCATCAACCTTCTTTGACGTGACTCCTGTGGGCAGGGTGCTCAACAGATTCAGCAAAGATATTGATACAATGGACAACACATTGCCCATGACGCTCAGGGCCTGGGGGACGTGTTTTTTTGCGGTATACATATTAAGAGAAACATTCAACGGCGAGACCTTAACGATTTTCGAATGCAAAAAGTAAAGAAAATCGTTAATAAATAACCACGTAATTTAAAACTTCTTTTTTTACGCCTATCCTAGAAGAGCAACAAGTAAAATTGCAGGAATAAAAATAGTTTTTAAAAATACATATTCTTTTAACCGTTGTCAATGTTGATTAATGTAAATTGAACGTTGACATAACTAATAGTAATTTGTTTTTTTTTTGTATTCTTATACTAAATTGTAATTTTCATTTGTTACTTTTTTCTAAAATAATCTTATATTTATTATTAATTTGATAAATTAATTCATAAATTATTATGACTATAAGCTACTATAGTGTAATTCTTATATTACATAAAACGTTTTGGATACGACTTTTCATAGTTACAATTTTATCATTAACAATTTAAATGTACAAAATATTTAGAATATCTCTAACCTTTATCGAAATTTTCTGGTCCAGATTGCTTTCGAAAATCGTTTTGTCCGCCTATTACTGCATAAAATCGTTTTGTTTGTGAATTCATGTCCTGATTGTTTCTGTCTGGATGGTTTTGTCTGGTTCGAGCGCTGGTGGCGGATTCAAGAATGTATAGTATTATATGTGAAACGTAGATCTATATATTTATATAGAAGACAAACTCTTCACATAAACACTCGAAATACCTTCGTGAAATCATGCAATCGAAAAAATAATGAATTAAGCATTTAACATGACATACTTAGACTTTTTTAAATCCATAATAAATGGCATAATTGGAATAATGGTAGATTAGGGGTGTAGTACGAAATGCTAACTTAACCCAGTTGACAATACTAGGCTTGTTAAAATAACAAATAAATCGATACAGAGTTTCGATTATTTATACAATAGTAAAAACTAATACTAAACCAAACACTAAAATATATTGTAAATATTTTGTACATAGTTTCCGATACTGTTAACTGTATATTAATTTTTATAAAATTTATGCTTTGTTACAATAATTTTATATTACTTAACTTTTAATATTTTTAATTTAGGTTTATTTATATGAATTTTAATGAGTATATTTCTTTCTAAAAGTATTGGATAGTCAAAATGTTGCAAATTAAAAATAAGGCGATAATTTATTAACTCAATAATATTTCTTTTTTTCTAATGTAATAATTTTTCAACATAAGAAAAAATGTAATTAAAATATTAAAGCGTTTTCTATAAAAGTAAATTCAAAAACTTCAATATTTGTCCAAGAGGTATTTATTTTTGGATGATGATCAGCATTTAAGTAGTTTTCTAAAAGATATCGGTCATTTGCGTGATGAATACTATCAGTTTATTTATCAACGAAATTTTCCATGCTTTTGATAATGAGTTTTATTTATAATCAAACATTAAATATCCTTATTTTTTCAGTTTGGATTTTAAATTTAAAATGCATTACCTACCGATCTTTTTCTCAAAAAAAAATTCAAACCCCTATCCCCTCGTAGTTTTGGCGACCAGCCTCAGTACCGTGTTACTGGCTTACGGCACCATAAACGCGGCGCACGACTTGCACACTTTCCTGCTGCAACACGTGATGCAACTCCCGATGTCCTTTATGGACACCATGCCATTAGGGAGACTCCTATCGCGGTTCAGCAGCGATGTGAACGTTGTGGACATCAATCTTCCCATGAATTTGAGACAGTGGTTACCCAGTTTTTTTCGGGTACGTGGGAGTACATCGTATTACAGCAGTGACCATAATAATACTCTCAATAAAAATTTAAAAATCAAGCAAGGTTTTATTAAATTCCTCTATAAGCAAACAAAAATTACGTCCTTGTGTAAAACACTATTTAACAAATTTATGAAAATTCAAGTTGCGCTTATAATGCTTTGTATATTATATATCTTTCTCTGGAATATGGTTTATGAAACTATCTGGAATATCTTCTTAGACAGCAATTGTATATATGGTCACTTTAAGTAATTCGACTTCAGATTCTATTAGCATTCTCTGCTAGGGTCTGTCTGTATACCTTTCAAGAATTTTGAGTATCACATGACTAACCAAATTTTCAAAATTTAACTCTTTAACGTAGACAGCACTAATTGTCTGTTTTTATGTTATTGTCCAATTTGATCACACTTGGTCTCTGTTATTTTATATAGACAGTCCCTTGCACTAGTTTTAAATACTCGTAGTTATTAATTAGACTTGATAAACTAATTAAATCCAACATGGTGGTTATCTTCAGAAATGGAACGTATATCAATTTAAATTGGTACATATGACTATATTCATTTTTTATATGACTAGATTATTAGTGCTTTCATGCTAAATGTTCATGTATATATCAAACGTATTATGTAGTGCTTATGCGTGTGTGTGTGGTAGTTGCATATTTTCATTTAAAATTTAATTAATTCAAATATATGTCTTTTGTCATTCATTTAGAATTTAGCTCATGCTTGCAGAATTAGAGTAGTATTCATGAAATCACCCATGTTTTAATATCATCCATCATATTTTAAACCATACTTCATATTTTAAACCATTCGTCGTAGATCCTTCATAACTGTAGTTTCAAAGTAGTAAAATCGCAAAATTGGATAAGGAAAAAAAATTAGAGCAACGTTGTGAGGATTTGTTTGCTTTTTTAGTAGGTTTCTGGCAGAAAATTGAGAAATTAAGAAATTTTAATCTTTTTATTTTAAAAATAGTTCAATATAGCATATTTGCTTAAGATCAGTTATTTTACTGACCGGGATAATAATGTATACAAGGAAGTCATGAAATTGGAGTTCGAACTCTTCTGACTTTTTCTATGACTGATATACATAGCTTTTTGGGGGTACAAAATTTATAGACCAGCAGGGGCTTATACTGATATAGGTTATTACATATTTAGTTTTTGAGGTAAAGCGTGAAATTACTAATTAGCAAAGAATACGTGTCAAGATGGGTGAAATGAATATGTAATCTAAGGAAATCCACTTATTTTAAATATCGTATCTTCGCTTGTAGACGCTATATCGTTTCTATTCTATTTACAAGCTTTCAATTACCAATTGCATGAATATTGTGAAGGAATTATCAATGCATTTCCCAGCTTTACATCCAGTCATAAATGTTGCATTTTGCTTCAGCGTGTAGCGCATTTTACACCGATCTGTTGCCTAAGCTCGGCACATGGCGAGCTGGTCGCGTTATGCACGAAGTCTTGTTGGCCGCTGTGATGCATCTGCCTTTGCAATTCTTCGACACCACGCCGGTAGGACGCGTTTTGGCAAGATTTTCGAAAGACACGGATGTCTTAGACGAAAGTCTACCATTCCAAATATCCGATACCATATACTGCATTTTTGAGGTAAAGGAAACACGGGATTAATACTATTTTTTGGCTATATGACGACACTAATTTTAATAATTGTCTAAGGTTTTATTCATACATTTTTACTACCGGCTATATTTTTGGGTCGTTTGGATACGTTTCTTATCATAAGTTTAAGTTTTGCGATATGTACATATACTAGAACTAACTTTAAGTCTAATAATGGTGGTTGGTTTAATCGTGTAAATGTGTAACGTGTCTTTGTATATATTTAGCAGCCTTTGTAAATATTACCTATATATTATATAAAATTCGAAATGCTTTCCATACCGCCGACAGATTTAACGCAGTAACGTAGTTATTAAGTAGTAGCAGTAACGCAACAAATAACCTACATTTAAATTTTAACTGTTTTCTAATTTTCTTATTAATTACATTAATAAGCGTGGATTGCTTTCCTTCGTGATCTCCTACCAAAGTTAGGTGGCTTACGCGCAAGCCAAATTTTGCACGACGCCCTGGTTGCATCCGCCTTAAAATTTCCTTTGAAATTTTTTGACATCACTCCTAATGGGCGAGTGCTGACTAGATTTTCCAGAGATGTCGAAATATTGGATCAAAATATGCCGCACCGTATCGGAAATTCAGTCGTTTTCTTATTTGAGGTAAAATTCATCGGAGTTCAGGAATTCTGATATAGAAAATACATCAGTTGGCATCATACTTGGTAATCACCATCTGTTTTTTCGTCTTGGCTTTGCTGAAATTATAGATATCTGAGCATGAGCAACCAAACCTTTTAGATTTAGACTCATCATGTAGTAAATACACTAAAGCATTAACTTATTTTTGCATAGATTTTTCTTAACATTATTTACTACTTTCATTGATATTGTTTTTTAGATTCAATACTACTTTCTTTTCATTTGCTTTTTTCTTGATTGTTTTTTTTAAATCTGCTTGAAGAAATAATGGTTGTACACCAATTAAAACCAACAAGGCAATTAACGATCCTGATAATCAGTCATTTTTGTTTAACCCTTCCGCTACGGTAGTGTTCAAATATTTAAGTTAATTTATCAATAAAATATATTTGAATATTAAAATTAATAGAATCAAAAATCACAAGTTGGAAATCTCAATAATTTAACTCGGAGTCGACACATTGGATGCCTTCTATAGACGACACTCGCACACGTCTACAAGCAGATGTCGTCCATAGGCGACGCTCGCAGCGAAAGGGTTAAATCAACCAAGAAAATTTTACCTTTAATATTTACCTAATACAAATTTGAAGAGAGTTACCATTCTTCCTTTGGCGATGTTTGAAAACTCAGTTACGGACTAATTGGTGATACTACACTATTATTTCTATGTGGCATAATCTGTTACAAGTTTAATATTCGGTTGCAAATGAAAAGATATCGTTTTCTGTCCTTCATCCTGCCGATCGCGTAGGTTTTGGTTCCTTCTGCTACGTGCTTCCCCAGCTAGGCGGTTTACGCGCCAGTAGAATTCTTCACAAGAAGCTACTAGCGGCCGCCCTTATACTCCCTTTGCAATTCTTCGACACAACGCCTCTTGGCAGAGTGCTTGCGCGATTTTCTAAAGACATTGATGTTTTGGATAATATCCTGCCAGTAATGATATCAAGCACTGTGTACTTTATGTTTGAGGTAAACTATGTTCAAAATTTGAAGCATGTGGTAATAAATCAATTTTTTGCAAAAATAATTGGCTTATAACGAAACACTGTTATGGATTTAACTAAACATTTAAAATATAATGATTTTGATTTGTAACCATTTATATATAATAGAATGAATGGTTATAAAAACAATTGAACATGAATAAAAATCGGAACAAGAATTGCAGGAGTTACATTTACATTACACTCGTTTTAAACATTTTGTGTTACGATATATTTGTTTTCATAGAGAATATTTTTCATATGCTTTTGTGCCGATGTGCGCCTTTAGTTATGAACATTATTTAATATTTTACATGTTTAATGATGACATGTAACAACTCTATATGTTTTCCTATTTGTTATTAAATTCAGTTATGAATATATTGTTGAACTGATCTGGTGTGCCGCAAATTCATCTCTTATATTTCAGATGGAAATGAATGAGACCATTATTTTAGTGTGTAATAATATATGTTGTATTTATTGTTGTTTTGATCCTAATGTATTTTAGGGCCAATCTATTGCATTTTTGTCTTATATTGGTGTTACCTTAAGCATATTATCTTATTATAAATATATATATATATATATATATATATATATATATATATATATATCGTTTCGCTGCCTGTGAAAATACAAGTTATGAAGCATGGGATTCAAATATTTACAATTTTACAAGTATTAGCGTTATGGATTATACTTTACTCTGTAAAATATCTTATTTTTAAATAATATGTCATGTTAAATGTATTCGAAGTATTTTGATAAAAAGTAATATTCTTTGTATATTACTATTTTCATTCACACACACAACCGTAAGTTAATAACTATACATACTACGTCCTGATGTTATGTGAAGTTTTTGCTATTTATGTTTGAAATGGGACTGAATGGATTTAATTTGTTTACAATTATTGCAAGTACATATTTAAATTTTAAAGATATATAACAATAAGCATTTGTTTTGTTTTGAAGATTGAATGTTAATATATAATATATAAAAGATTGAATTCTGATCAAACGTTATAATCGAATTGGCGAATAATAAAAATTAATATCGAATTCAAACATCATAAGCAGTTAAACGTTGTAAAATTTCACTGGTTAAATTAAATTGTATTAGAAGGTTTTGATTTGTTAGCCATTTGATTAAAACCTTTGATTGAGAATTTATATAATTAACTAGTTTTTATTTTAATATGCTCATTAATTTGCTTTGTATTTACCTGCTCTTTTTTCATATTCCATACCGCATGTGGTTCGTACTTTCATAACGGACTACTAATAGGTGGTAGGTACTTTGGTTGTGATCAGCATAGCGACACCAATTTTTGCCGCAGTAATAGTGCCAATTGCTTTCGTCTACTACTTTGTCCAGAGATTTTACGTAGCAACTTCTAGGCAGCTCAAGCGTTTAGAATCTGTATCTAGGTCGCCTATTTATTCACACTTTGGTGAAACTGTTACTGGAGCTACGACCATTCGAGCTTATCAAGTCCAGGATAGGTAAACCAGCAATAAATTAAAAACTATAATAAACAATATCATTTCACAATATGATGTTCTTCATTTTTTTCCAGATTTGTGCGAGAATCAGAAAGCAAAGTGGATTTCAATCAAATATGCTATTATCCTAGTATTATAGCTAACCGATGGTTAGCCGTACGCTTAGAAATGGTGGGAAATTTAATTATTTTCTTCGCTGCTCTTTTTGCTGTTCTTAGTCGTGATTCTGATAGTTCAGATGCAGGGCTAGTGGGACTTTCAGTAACATACGCGTTACAGGTAAATCAGGAACAACTATTAATATTTACGAAATAAAGTACTGGTACTTACTTTAAGTTTATCTTTTTTTTCTCCAGATAACGCAAACTTTAAATTGGCTAGTACGTATGACATCTGATGTGGAAACAAACATTGTTGCTGTGGAACGTATCAAAGAGTACGCCGAAACACCCACCGAAGCCCCATGGGATATCCCATCTACACAACCCAACGCAGATTGGCCAGTTGAAGGCTGTGTAGAATTTCGCAACTTTGAAGTCCGATACCGTGAAGGACTTGATCTGGTTTTGCGAGGAGTCAATTTCAAAGTACAAGGTGGCGAAAAAGTTGGTATAATCGGACGAACTGGTGCTGGCAAGAGCAGTCTTACGTTAGCACTTTTTAGGTTGGCTACAATATAAAATATCATTTGATTAATTTCTGATTTGCATACATCAACAATTTTTTATTTTTAGAATCATAGAATCCGCTGGCGGTAGCATATTCATTGATGGTGTTGATATTTCAAAATTGGGACTTCATGCACTCAGATCTAGATTGACAATCATTCCTCAAGATCCAGTCTTATTTTCAGGAACTTTGCGTATAAATCTTGATCCGTTTGATGCTCATTCTGATGAAGAGGTCTGGCGAGCTCTTGAACATGCTCATCTTAAAGAGTTTGTAAAAGGTAAGTTATAGTAATGTATTATTTTATTTATATTATAACGATTAAATTATATTTTTACCTTATTTTTTAACAGGTTTGTCAGCTGGCTTAAATCATGAAGTAAGTGAAGGTGGTGAAAATTTGTCTGTGGGACAGAGGCAATTAGTATGTTTGGCAAGAGCTCTATTAAGAAAAACAAAAGTGCTTGTACTAGATGAAGCTACAGCAGCTGTAGATTTAGAAACTGATGATTTAATACAAGTAACAAAAAAATTATACTACAATAAATATGGTTCATATGATAATTATATGAAATATTTATTTTCAGACTACCATCAGAACAGAATTTAAAGATTGCACTATATTGACCATTGCACATCGATTGAACACTATTATGGACAGTGACAGAGTGATAGTGCTGGATAAAGGTCAAATATCCGAGTTTGCACCTCCACAGGATCTCTTACAAAATAAAAATTCTGCATTCTATAGCATGGCTAAGGATGCTGGACTTGCGGGGTAAAAAATTTGTTGTATTTTATATAATATTTTTGAGGATTGCATCACATTACTCTGCACACGTTATTAGATAATACGTTTTTATTATAGTTAAATATTTTAGAAAAGTTTACTTAATGCGATATACTTAACTTAAATTTATTTAAGATAATTTACTTAGTTTGAATTATATGAAATTATATTGTATAATAACAAATTTATAGTATATTTTTATAATCTATTTTGCTGTAATTTTTGCAATTTGTTTTATTGTTGTATAGATATATCCCAAGAAACTATATATATTCAAATATATTGCTATTAATATTTATCATACAAAGCTATAGGGCCATTATAAACCTTATCGTTCATTTGTTGCACTAGAGTATAATTATAAAAAGGTTACTCTAATAGAATTTCATGAACAATTCTAATGTATTCGTATGATTATTATTATATTTTACCAGTTTTCTTAAACTGCATCACAAATTTGTTGATATTACTTACTTAAATAAGCAATGGAAATCCTATAAATGGTTAATGTTATATTTTTAGTTTATGATAATTTTATTTACCTTGCCTTAGACTTTCAATAATTTATTACTGCCAAAACTTTGACAAAAAAAGATTTTATCAGTAATTTTATACTTGAAATGCACATTTAAAATACCTCGTAAATAGATTTTTTGTCAATTATTTATATCTAATTTATGTAGAATTAATATTAATTTTCAATTTATAGTTTATAACTTGTACAGCAATTAAACTTGAGCTGTGAAAGCAATAACAAGTGCCTCAGATGTCCTGAAAGATTGAGTTTACTTTTGCATTTTTAAAGGCACTTTAAATATTTTTATATTAGGTTATTTTGAATATTTTTGTAACAAAAAATATACTTAAGTACAAACTTAATTCACGATAAAAATATTGTTTCATAGGGTACTTAACATATTTAATTAAAGCGTAATTAAAATAAATAAATTATTTGAAAAATATTTTTTATTTTCATATAACATAACAATAATGAAAATGTTATTAATTCTAATATTGCTATAAGCATTCTTTAAACTGAACTTGGTATTAGCTGTGTTCACAATTAGAGTGATTCCTAATGTACTTTTTGCTTGTCAAAGAGATCATTTTAAATTACTTATGTTTTTAGAATAATTTAGTGATATTTATTTCATTTTTGATAATTTGTTTTGAGTGTTAAGTTCTCAAGTTGATATATTAACATTTTCAATTAATATATCAGATACAAAGTATATTAATTGAGGGAACTCGTTCAACTCAAATATTAATAAATATATTATTTTATTCTAAATTTATATCAATAAATGCTTGTTTTTAATAATAAATTTGAAAGCTATAATATTCTATGTGAATTATGTTTACTTTTTATCACAGGGGACTAAATTCTGTAAGTAAATGCATTTCTAAAGATTTTGCTACAATTCCGTATAAAAAGTTGGTCTATTTATACCTAATAACTGAAATACGTGAGGTAAAAGAAAAACTGTATTGAAACCTATCATTCCATATGTAAAATATTTATATGATAATTCCACAATTAATTTAGAACGATTTTGTAAGGAATTTTCAGATTTTCTCAGTTCATGTGGATCTTTTCTTATAAGAGCGCACACTAAGGCATAAGACAAAGATTTGCAAATAGCTCGAGTAGCCATTATGCAGCATAATCCCAATGTTGTACGAAGTAAAGTTAAACCCTGCATACTCCATGAAGGCCAAATTATTGTATATGGAGGAGGTAATGATGGTATAACCATTCTACCAAGTTGGTAATTCAGCCAAGCACCAAGCACAATACCCACATAAACAGAAGTGGTCATTGTCGTATCACCTCTGAAAGTAGGATAAATAATATACTAAATTATATGAATGAATAAATTATATCAATTAAAGTGCAATTTACCTTGTGGGTGTCCAACGATCAGCACTTGGATATTTCCATATTAAAAGTAAAGATAATAAAAGAACTGCTAGAGGACTCATTGGATTTGTAACTAAAAACCCATCTAATAGATCAGCCAGTGGAACTAATGGAATCATAAGTAATAATGCCAAGAATAACCCAGCAATAACATCCTATATCGTAAATAATAAAACTAAGTGATTTGTTTGAGCCCATTCTTAGATTATATGTATTTTATAATTACCAATGCACTGTGCATTCCTAAATATAATCTACTGACACTGATGAGCAAACACCAAGTCAAAGTAACTGCTCCACCAAGATGCAATGGATAAATATATCGTTCTGCAGTAAATATTAAAACAGATAAAGGAATTGCTATTCCAACCATAGCATGCGTTGAAGGCATTCCATATTCTTGTGACCACTTTTCTTGTAAGCGTATACAAGGTGGACCTGGTCTAGGCCATCTGATAACATCTTTTAAACCTTGACCTAAAGTTGAGATATACAGTTATAGAATTTGGGAATATCAATGAGTTATAGAAGTGTATATTACCTATATACATTATAACAGACCAAACAAAGATAACACGTCTTCCTACAGCACCATCGATATTCCAGAACCAAAATGGTATAAAAGTTGCATAAAAAATTTCATCGCCTAACTCAGTTCCTATACGAAAAAGATAGTACCAAAATTTGTTGGTGATTTCATATTTAGGTTTATTCAGTTCGATATCTGAATCTGTTGAAGCATCATCAGTAGATACACATTGCGACGATTGTGATTCCGTGCTAACATTTCTTTTGTGACATTTGAGGTTAACATCATTAAATTGACTATTATCACTTTGTTCATAAATATTTTTAGTGGCAGTGTATTTTTGTTGGTTTTCAATTTGTTTTCGATTTATATCATATTCTGTATCACTATTATTTTTTTGAACTGAGGGTTTATACTTTACACCAAAGTATTTTTGAACTTCAACAACTAGATCAGGTCCTTTCAAATATTCAACTGATTGTTTTATCTTGTTCATGGTTAAGTTAAGAATTTTTATTATACAATATAACAATAAATAGTAATAAAATAATTATATTTGGATCATTTAAACGTTAGCACAAGAACCAATTGCATTTTGCTTTGACAGTTGACAGTTGACAGATGACAGTTCGATACCGCTAGACAACAAATGTTACCAGAGTAAATATCAAGTGATGTTTTTCATATTTATTTTATTTAATATTTATAATTGAATCCTTTTCATGTTTAATAAATTAAAATTGGTTTATTTATTAATTGTAGTTCACCAACCTATAAAAATCTGCCAAAATTTGAATAAAATCATAAATGTCAAAATAGAACATGGCAATACTAGTGAAACATTCGGCCAATCAAATGCATCTTTAAAACATTGAAGGAGGGTTCGCTGCCATGTTGAATGTCGCTTCATTTCAGTCAATTATAAAACAAGGTCCTATTTGTGTAACATTTTATTAGTGTAGTGAATTTTTACAGGATTATACATAATATTTAGGTGAGTCGATTTTAAATATATATTTATTGTGTTCATAAATGTATTAAACTTGGTATTGACTGGTTGTTCTTCTTGTGGCATCAATTTATCATACCGGCTTTTTTTAACGATTTCTGTTTGTAGACGCTATTACAAATTTATTTTGTAAAGTATATGGTTAATAATATGATTTTCAAAAAAAATCGTAAAGTAAAAGCCAATATGATGTTGCACAATTGTTTATTGTTATATGTAATAATTTAATTGAAATTAAATTTTTGCATAATGGCAATATCCAAATCTCACATAATTTTTGTCAGTGGAATGTACACTTATTAGTCAGTCCATGGTATTTTTAATCAAATTGTACTATATACCAAGTTTAATTCTAAAACCCAGTCTATTGAATTATACGTACACATTTTCATTAATAAACTTGTTTTAATGGCAACAAGCCCCCCATTTTGCTTGGTGTTTATTGCCATTTACCAGGATCAATTAACCAACCAATTAACTCTAATGGCCTGCTGATGAAATTGACTTTACAATTCTCTTTCCTAAGACCCTGTTGTAAAATGTAGATGCTGAAATACAGAATCAATGAATCATAATGATTAAATATTAATATTAGTAATCTAGACTAACTAAATAAATTCGTCTGGAAATCTAATATTTCTTATTAGAATACTACTAATATTAATTACCTGACGAAAAAAATTTTCCCGCCTACATTTGCTGATTGTAACACGATTAGAAAATACTGTTTCTCCAAATATATTCTTCAGATAACTACTAGAATTATCTTCCAATGTTTTATTTTTACACTTATTTTCAAAATAAGAAATAGTGTTAATTTTAAAAAAATAATAAAACACATTTAATGAGCTATAATTTGGTATAGTGTTCATTTATTGCATATGGAAAAAATTACACAGATATTAGAGTAAAAATCTCCTAAACTTGAAGGTAAAATCTCTATCCTTCATTAATCAGCAAATGTGTGTTATAAATTTCTTTAAGAAATTTATGACTTCTTATTCACAAGCTTAAATATATATATATTTCAATTTTATTGGGTCAGCCCTGCATCTACATTGATGCAAAAAAGAAATAAAACCGAAAATACAATTATGTCCGAGGACCCATAGACCGAAACGATCGGACAACAGGGCTCCATAATGAAGATTCATTATCGATTCAGTCGTCATATACAATACGATTCGCGTGCTTCATCGAAATATTCACAAAATGGCATTAAAAAGACAATTTCATGGGAAGTTTATCAATGCTTTTATGATATAGAGGACATACATAAATATATACCCGCATTTGATGAATATTGCGAATCAAAAATGATGTATAATGATAATACACTTAATGTTTCGCTTTTACGGAATAGAAATAGACTTGCAGATGAGAAAATATTTTGATACATCGAACGCGATATGAAGAGTGAATTTCCCGATTGTGTGATTTCACAAAGAAGTCGTTTTAAATTGGAATAACTATTTGTATATGTGAGTCAAATTTGACCTTTTTCTCAAAATCGCTGCATTGATTTCAAAACTGTAATGAAACTCGAGAAGAACCCGTATTCATTCATTTTGTGAGAAGATCGCCGAGCCGTTTCTCAATATTTAGCAAATCAAGCCA